AGAGCTGCTCTCCTCTCTCCTTTCTTCTGCCTATTAAACTTTCTGTTCCTTAACCCACTTCATGTGTGTGTGTCTGTGTTGTTAATCTTCTCAGCTCCAGATGACGAACCACGGGTATTCACCCCAGACAATGATGCCACTTCAAAATTACAATGAAATATCTTCAAACTGCTTAAGTAAAAAGAACTATCAACTTAGCATTCAATATACAGCTAAAATATAACTCAAAAGTAAGAGCTGAAATAAAGACATTTTTAAACAAAGACAGAGTTTACATTAAAGATCTGAAGTTAATGAAATACTAAGTGTGCACTTTAGGTAGATGCAACTGAGCTCAGAATGAAGGAAAAGGATGCAGAAACAATGCACTCTTTATTATTTTCTGTTTTTTTTTTATGATTTAAAAATATTTCTTAATTTTATTTATTTGTTTGAGACAGAGTCTTGCTCTGTCACCCAAGCTAGAGTGCAGTGGCACAATCTCAACTCACTGTGGCCTCCGCCTCCCAGGTTCCAGTGATTCTCCTGCCTCAGCCTCCCAAGTAGCTGGGATTACAGGCACATGCCACTACACCCGGCTAATTTTTTTATTTTCAGTAGAGACAGGGTTTCACCATATTGGCCAGGCTGGTCTTGAACTTCTGACCCCAGGTGATCCGCCCTCCTTGGCCTCCCAAAGTGCTGGGATTACAGGTGTGAGCCACTGTGCCTGGCCTAAAAATATTTCACAATTAAACATGTAAAAGATCTAGAAAAATAACCAATAATGAGTGAAAAGTGTAACAAAATTATAGACCAAATAAGCTCATTCTTTTATTACCTACTTAAAAAGTAGGTAATAATTTCCATAGCCCTTGTTGTAGTCTTGTTAAAATGTAGGGGGTTGGTGGGGCATGGTGGCTCACACCTGTAATCCCAGCACTGTGGGAGACCGAGGCAGGCAGATCATGAGGTCAGGAGTTCGAGACCAGCCTGGCCAACATGGGAAACCCCTACCTCTACTAAAAAACAAAAATTAGCCAGGCGTGGTGGCGGATGCCTGTAATCCCAGCTACTTTGAGGCTGAGACAGGAGAATCGCTTGAATCTGGGAGGGAGAGATTGTAGTGAGCTAAGATGGCACCACTGTACTCCAGCCTGGGCGATACAGTGAGACTCTGTCTCAAAATAAATAAATAAATAAAAGTCGGGGTGTTAGGCCTCAGTGGCAAGACTGCCCTCCTTTCATTCTAATGTTCCCCTGCCTTTCTGACTGTGGGTCTTAAGACCCTCCCATGAGAGGGTCCCACCCGATACCTTGAGGGAAGGAATGCTGATGTCATGAAGCTTCCAGAAAAACCCAAGAGAAAAGGGTTCAGGGAGCTTCTGGATAGCTGAACCTGGAGGTTCCAGGAGGATGGTGGCCCAGGGAGGGCATGGAAGTTCTGTGCCCCTTCTCCATACCCAACCCTATGCATCTCTGTATCCTTTGCAATATCCTTCATAATAAACCAGTAAACCTAAGTAAGTGTTTCCTGAGTTCTGTGAGCTGCTCCAGCCAATTAATTGAACCCAAAGAAGGGGTCTTGGGAGCCCCAACTTGAAGTTGGTCAGTCAGAAGTTCTGGAGGCCTGGACTTGCAACTGGTGTGTGTGTGGAGGGGGCAGGGGCAGTCTTGGGGACTGAGCCCTCAATCTGTGGGATATTATACTATCTCTGGGCAGAGTATCAGAATTGATTTAGGGGACACCTAGCTAGTGTCCACTGCTTGGTGTGTAGGGGAAAAGCCCACACACATATGGTCACATGAGTTTTCTTGTGTGGTGATGACTGTTGTGATGTGAGAGTAGAGAAAAAAAGTGGTTTGAGAAGAAGCTTATGTGTTATTTTTAAAGAATGGCTGTTTTAAATTTCAATCCCCCTAAGATGTAAAAACATTAGAATATGCAAATACAAGGCTGATCAAATCTCATCATGGGAGAGAAGACTAGTTCATTCAGCATTTCATTCATGTTAATAATTAGCTCAAAAAGCTCACAGTATCATTTTGTTAAAAAAAAACGTTAAGAATGAGCTCATGGAAAAAGTTATATTCATCAGGTCTCTCTGTAGGAAGCTAAAAAATATTTTACAACCAGCAGAAGGGACAGTCACATAATATATACTTTATTATTATTGTTTGCCAGCTAAATAGCTTCAATTCTTGTGTACAGTACTCCCCTCACCCAAGCTATAATAACCTTACACCTGCAGAAAAAATACTTTAATATTTGAGAATTTCTGATAACTGTTAGAGAGATGTCTCTACCATCTGGAACCTGCTGGAAGCCTCTACTGTCAGGGTACGGATAAGGTTTGGCTGTGTCCCCACCTAAATCTCAACTTGAATTTTATCTCCCAGAATTCCCACATGTTGTGGGAGGGACCCAGGGGGAGGTAACTGAATCATGGGGGCCAGTCTCTCCCTTGCTACTCTCATGATAGCGAATAAGTCTCATAAGATCTGATGGGTTTATCAGGGGTTTCCACTTTTGCTGCCTCCTCATTTCCTCTTGCCACCACCATGTATGAAGATTCTTTCGCCTCCAGCCATGATTCTTAGGCTTCCCCAGCCATGTGGAACTCTAAGTCCAATTAAAGTTCTTTTTTTTTTTTTTTTTTTTTACCAATTTTGGGGATGTCTTTAGCAGCATTAAAACAAACTACTACAGGTTCAATACATTGTTTTTTGTACATTTAACAAAGAGCAGAAGATTAATTTGCTTATTGTTCACTTTTCAGATACAGTATTTATTAATTCTGATTAACAGTGCAGACCTCAAGATGGCTCAAAACTGCCATCCTCCCCCACCAATATATTTAATCCTTCTACTATTAAGATGCCATTTTTACAACCATGTGAAGTAAAAGTCTGTGACTAGCTGGAAGCCTTCTGTATTCATTTGCTCTCTGGCATTTTGAATTGGTATATTACTCTATGCCAGTTTCCTCTACTGTGACATGTGCTCAAGACAAATTTATCTAAGACATTTTGCTTTAATATACCTAAGCCTGCCATCTTTCATCTATACAGGTTGAGTATCCCTCATCTGAAATGCCTGGGACCAGAAGTGTTTTGGATTTTGGAGGATTCTGGATTTCAGACTTGTGGACTTGGGAGACTTGACCTGTAGTACCCTTCTAGCTGGCCTTTCTTCTTTTGTACTCTTATTCCATTTTAAGCATTCTTCCATGATTTTTAAAAACTGCAAGTCTAATCTTGTAATTTATGTTGCTTAAACTCATTGCTTGCTTTTAAGATAATATCCAAAACTTAACATGCCTTAAAAAGCACTGCACCATTATAGACTCTCACATCTCCAGCTTTATCTTATGCCACCTCCCCTCATACTCTCACAACTCATGTACCTTCCCATTTCAGGGTCTTTGCACTTGTGGTTTGCTCTCCCTGAATATTCTTCTCTCTATGATAGAGGTCAGTTAACGCTTATTCATCTTTAAGATCTGAGCTCAAATGCCACTTCCTCAGAGCAGCCTGTCCTGACCATCCTCATTAGATCAGCTTCCTGTGGTTTTAATAGCACCCTACATTTTTGTGCTTAACTTATAGCTACATACTTGTATAATGATATATTAATGGCTAGTTTCTGCCATCAAACTGGAAATCTATGAAGGTGGGGTCTATGTCTGTTTTGCTTACTATTTTAACATTAGTCCTTAATTAGCAAATTTTTTACTCAACGTATACACAGAGGTGATTTATTGGGGATATCATCAATTTAACTTATAGATTAGATGAATGTCTCTTAATATGCTTTTTTCTTTAATTCCTAAGAAGTAAAGGAAGTAACAGCTTGGAAATTATTAACAATTCAAACTTTAAAACATGATAGAAATATGAGAACAAATTCACTTTCTTGAGATGTGAAGATCTATGAAGAATTAGTTGATTAAAATCTTGTCTCTTATTTTACTGGGCTGAGGTGGGTAGATCATGACGTCAGGAGTTTGAGACCAGCCTGGCCAAAATGGCAAAACCCTGTCTCTACTAAAAATACAAAAATTAGCTAGGCATGGTGGCAAGTGCCTGTAATCCCATCTACTCAGGAGGTTGAGGCATGAGAATCACTTGAACCTGGGAGGCAGAGGCTGCAATGAGCAGAGATGGTGCCACTGCACTCCAGCCAGGGTGACAGAACAAGACTGTGACCCAAAAAAGAAAAAAAAAAAATGAGGCATAAGAAAGAATGATAAACTATAAAATACTAAGCAAATGTTACCTGCTATAGTCATTACTGAGTAAATGAAACACTAGAGAGATACATACATGAGAAAGGTAATAAATTTAAGTATTATACTTTCATTATATAAATGTGAATTTTTCTTTTTTTTGTGTGTGATAAACACTTTTCTAATGTTAGAGAAATATATTGCAAATCCAAATAAATACTATCCAGGGAATGTTCTAGATAATGATAACAGTGATGATGTTGAGGTAACAGCTAGTATTTACTGAGAACTGTTCCAAAGTGCTTTACACATATACTCATTTAATTTTCTTAATAATTTTAACAGGTAAGTACTATGATTGTCACCTTCACTTTGCGGATAGCAAAATGAAGCACAAAAATGTTAGATAAATTTGTCCAAGATTACACACCAAGTAAGTGGCAAAACAGAGATTTAAACATAGGCAGTCTGGCTCCAGAGTCCACATTGGTCTCTTTTCAATTCACTAGCTTAAACTTTGTTTCCATTCAAGTTTTAATTTCTCAAGTTCTACATAAAATGCTACCGATCAGTTTAAATGTTCATCTGCTGAGTACAAAAAAACAAAACAAAACAAAACAAAAAAAAAACAATTTACAAAACTGAGGGGTAGAAGCACAGCAAGTAAAGGCTTTAAGATTTTAATACCATAGATTTAAGATTAATTATATCCCTTTTCCTTTTAGAATCTAACTACATTCTGAGTTTAAAAGATATGGTCAAAATAAAAACAGTTTGGTTGTATACACTGACCAGGATATGATCCACTCGGTCTCTCTTCTTTCTTCCAAATTTCATCATTTTCTGCCAATCTGTTTTGTGGTTTGGCTCCTTTTTAAGACTGAATAACTTAAGTACTTCACTTGCTATGAAGCTCTGTAGAAACAAGAAAAATACATGAAACACAAACAACAGAATTTCTGAGTTTCATGTGTTTACAATGCAGTAATCAGACTCATGCTAAGAATATATTTACAATAAAATATCATACAAATTTCTTCCGCTTACAGTTCCATGTAGCAATTTGAAGAGAAAAGCATTCCAAATGCTGAGACTTTATTCACTTACACCACATATAAAAGTGAAACCTGGCTGGGCATGGTGACTCATGCCTGTAATCCCAGCACTTTGGGAAGCCAAGGCAGGAGGATCACTTGAGCCCAGGAGTTCGGGGCCAGACTGGGAAACATGGTGAGAGGCCTCATCTCTACAAAAAAAGGTACAAAATTAGCTGGGCATGGTGGTACATGCCTGTAGTTCTGGCTACTCAGGAAGGTGAGGTAGGAGGATTGATTGAGCCCAGGAGATCCAGGCTGCAGTGGGCTGAGGCTGTACCACTGCACTCCAGCCTAGGTGACAAAGTGAGATCTTGTCTAAAAACAATAACAACAGCAAAGTAAAACCCATTTATTAATTCTGCAAAGAAAAATCACTTTAGAGTTCCCTTTACTTACGAACCACCATTAGCTAACCTCAAGCTGGCAACACTACTAAAGAAAGCATAAAATAAATCTCTGAATTGGAAAAATCTCATAGAGATTTTTGGGACAACGTGATGTGAGAAAAGCAAAAGACNGGGATAGTTCATTTTGAAGCACCAAAATTCAAATATGTTAAATTAATAATGTTAATCAACACTTCAGTATGAAAAGCATAATAATTTTATTACCAACAATATTTGAACTAGCACCCTTAAAAACTTTATAAAATGCTAATGTCAATATTAAAATTAGTGAGTAGCATTTATTGTATGCAGGTAGTTTGATTGTTGGTATATATTATGTATCCTGTCTTACTTCAATTTATTGCTATTACCAATTTATTTTATTACTTTTTATGGTGGTTCTACTAAAAAATAGTGCTCTTAACAGGGGAAGGGACACATTTATGAATCAGAATCACCTGGAAAGATTCTCAAAGTACCAATGTGCCTGCAAATTCCATCACTCCCCACCTGTTCACAGACACACATATATGCGTTCAAACATTTATTAATTGTGGAAGTGTAGAAGGAATGGAGTATACAAGTGTTTTTAAAGAGCTACTTACTTTAAGCCAGGGGCTGGCAAACTTTTTCCGTAAAGGACCAGACTGTAAATATTTTAGGATTTGTGGGCCACGTGGTCTTTGTCACAACTATTCAATTCCACTGTTGTAGCAAAAAGCAGCCATAGATAACATGAAAACAAATGGGCATGGCCGTGGTCCAACAAAACTTTATTTATAAAAACATACAGGGGGCTGGATCTGGCTCATGGGCCATCGTTTGCCAACCCCTGAGGTAAACATACATCCCATCTCATAAATATCTGTTGCTGTTCTATCAGTTTAGAATATTTTTAAACACTTTCTGTGATCAAATAAGTCTCAGAAATACAACTTTAAAGCTTTGCTATTCAGCATGGTCCTGGGACCAGCAGGACCAGCATAACTTGAGAGCTTGCTAGAAATGCAGAATTTCAGGTCCTACTCCAGACCTACTAAATTAGATTCTCCATTTTAACAAGATCCTCAGATCATTCACATGCTCATTAAAGGTTGAGAATCACTGCTATGGAAATATAACCTATCCTGTAAAGAAACATGTGACTAGGCAGAGCAGACTGCTACCAATGTGACTTTAAAGTTCGCAGTCCTCTTAGCTTCTGGGCAAAGGTTTTCAAAGGTTTCCTAGATAACAAAATAAATATATTTATGTATCATATTACTACCCTACATAGGTCAAAACCACATTACCAATTTGAAACCTCCAAAGTCAAAGACAGAAAAGTAACACTTATCTGTCCAGGGCTGGCATACTGAAAAGACATATATATGACATGTTTTCATATGTACTTTTAGAGCATTATACCTGTCTCTACAAGCCCCAGACACTTACCTAAAACTCCTGAGCTGGAAAAATTTATCTCCCTGGGTATTTCCTGATTTTTCTTAAATATTATAATTACGTATATATAGAAAATGGTAAAAGTAATTTTTTTTTTTTTTTTGCACAAACTTGAGGATTCAGGGTTCCCTTTCACTCCAATCCCTCCATTGTTCATGGACTCAGTGAATCAACAAATCTTTACTGAATACCCCACTATGGAACGGTCCTGAAGACACAAAGGTTAATAATACAGAAGAACATCTGCTTTTACAACATTTATAGATTTGTGTAAATGAATGGCAAGTCAAAAAAGAAAACAGTTTATAGTCTGTAGTTTACCTTGATTTCATCAAGGTTATTTGGATTTTTCACTCGTCGGAAATAACTAGAGTTGATTCTACATGGCTTCATCCAGATAGGTTGATTTAAGTTGGGATCCTCAGCAAATATTTCCTCAAAAATCTCTTTTGTTAAATCAAAAACCGCCTTGATAGAGAAAAAACAAAACAAAACAAAAACACAAAATGGCTAAGAATCCAAATTTCAGACAACGGGAGAAAAGTTTAAAAACTAAAATTATCCTTTTACCTACCTGTTTGTAGACCCTTTTACTAGTGCTTTCTATATCTAGACATTTACTGGCACAGCCAAGAAGTTTTGTAGGAATACTGATGCTATGAAGATCATGGCCTAATTCTTTGCACTTCCAGAGTTCTTCTGCTGCATTATGTACAAGAATCTCTACTTCCTCTGCAGTATGGGGGACTGTCAACAATGTCTCACATGGCTGCTGAGGTTCTCTTTTAGGTTCTGCCATTAGAGGTACAATGGTTTCTTCTGCCTTATTTTTTTGGATCTTGTGAGATGAGCTCAAACCAAAGTCTTCATCAAACCAGTCTTGATCATCTCCTAATGCGCTCAGGAACTCGCGGCTGAGCTCAAGTTCAGCAAGTCTCTTAGCAAGTTCTTCCTGCCCACTGGCACCAAATACTGGGCTCTCCTATAGAAATGGAACCATTCAAACAGAACACCATTTAGGGACCTCAGATCATTTTTTAAAATACAGAGTAAATGTATTATTTATATATTTAATATTTCTCTATAAGCAAGCAGAATAAAAAACAATATGGTGGCTACTAATAAACAATTTAAGACAAAGTTATGGTGTTCTCTCAATTCTACTTATATAAACCTATATATAATTGAAGTTTTATAAAATGTTTATTGATTGGGCCTCTACCTCCTTTTTGTATTATCATTATTCTGTTTCTAAAGAACTGTCTGCCTATGGGATATGGAAATGGGATATAAAATTTCTCACCTGGTCACTATCTGACTCAAGTTACTCAAAGTCATTACTTTCGCTCAACTGTCCATGGGCAACCTCAACAAGCTGATGGTCTGAGTGCATGTCATAGTGGTTATATTTCATTTTACCAGAATCAACATCACAACTGCTAACAACTGCAGGGCAACCATGACTGAGTAGATATGTAAACAATTTCACAGGCAAAAAAGAATTGGGTGGTGAACTGCTGGAAAGCTCCATGGAAGGAAGCTGTTCTGTGAATCTAGAAGGAGATGTAATCTGTGGACAGTACAGGGGTTGCCAACTCAGCAGTTTAAATGGATGGTTTAGTTCCCTAAAATCTGCCACTGCTTGTGACAACCCTACAGTGACTACTCATGACATAATAGAGGACAATTACACTTCAGCCAGGAAAACAGCTACAAGGCCTTTAAAAACTAGTATAGTGATTCTTCTGTAATAAACCACACATCAAGGGAAAAAATAAACCTATCAGGAGTCACAGAATTAAAATGCACTATATAGGCAATGTAAATTGCCTTGTTAAAGGTGTCAGAAGGTACACTGACACTCTTTCTAGACAAAATACTCACCGGTCTGGGACACATATCTGGAGACGAAATCTCTTCTTTTTCATCTTCCAATTCAGACCTTAAGAGGCAACTTGAAACACTTGGTGACTGTTCCTCAACACTTTGGGATAGGTCTTGGGGTGGTACTTTCTTTTGGTCATCACCAAGAAGCTCCTGATTGCTAAGCTGGATTTTCTGATCTCTGTTTTTTTTAATTTGTTGTAGTTGATTGACTGTGTCCTTTACAAAGACTTTTAGTAAACTGTCTGTCAGTAAGCTGACTGTTTCCAGTTGTTGCTTTGACTTTTTTTCCTCATTTAGTGATGATTTCAGTTGGGCTTCCAGTTGGTTTTTTTCTCTTGTTAAAAGATCCAGAAGTGGTGTAGAAAGCTTTTCTGAAACTTCAGCATATAGGTTGTCTTCTTTTTCTGTAAACTGCTGTTGCTTCTGCAATTCTTCAGAAAAGGTATTGTTTAAAGCATCATCTTCTGCAGCCATGGAAACCTTTTCTGTGGCATCAGAAATGAGGTCTTTGTTTTCCTTTGAAGAAATCAGTGAATTCACTGAAGACTGCTGGTGAACATGGGCTTCAAGCACCCCAGAAATGTCCTGTACATCGCCTGTTTCTATTTTAAGGCTTCTATTTCTATTAACTGAGGCTTCTATATCATTCACACTCGGTAGGGATTTCTCATAAAAATATTCACTTATATCGTTTTCTCTGTCTTTTGGACCCTCTGTATCATTTTGCTCTTCATTATAGTATTGATACTGTTCATCTGAATAAGAGTCTTCATCTTCATTAATGTCTACATAGTCATCAAAGTTTTCTGGAATGTGAGATATTTTTTGAGGAGGAGCAAAAATACCATGCTTTTCTTTGCATTCAAAATATGCAATGCCATCATATGTTCCATTGTTATTTCCTTCAGGTTTATCTAACTCCACTCCAGCCCAAAATCCTTTAGCAAAACTAGTCTCACCTTTGAATCGAAGAATTCCTGGCTGAACATTTCCAATCAACACCCTATCACCAATGTGGAAATCCAATAACTCATCTGCAGTAGGAACTGAAGTCAAGGAAGTAGATTCAGTAACTTGCTGTTCATGCTCCACATCACTGCGCTCCTTATTTTTCATAAGCTCAGTAGGGGACTTGAGTTCCAACAGCCTTTCAGAGTGAACATTGCTATGGACAGAAAGGCTTTTCTCACTTAGGCACTCACTGATTTCATCATTGCTACCAAAGCTAGTGGCTCCACTTCTAGAGCTCCTCATTGGCTGTGACTTATCTCTGCAAGACTGAGCGTCTTTCCTGAGTGACAGCAAAGATGAGACCTCAAAATCATCTTTGTATAATTCAGTTGAAATTTCTTTCTTGAAAGAAGACATTTCAAAATCTTCAGAGTATGGTTTCTCTTTAGGAGCAAAAAGATGTTCTGACCAAGACAAATCATTTTCCTTTGTGTTCTTTTGAATGTCTTTTCCTGATTGGATGTTTGGACTATGATTCATATCTTGATCTGACTGTCTCTCTTTCAACATTTTCTCACGTTTTTGGAGATTTTCAATGGCTAATCCAACTAGGTCTTTCTGAACATTTTCAGAATCTAAAGGAAGATCTTTCTTTGAAAGAATTTCAGATGCATCTCCCTGTTCTAGGTCTAATTTCAGTAAGACATCAGATTTACCTTGTTTAGAACAGGTATCTTCAATCTTACTCTCCTTCAATTTTGTATACTCTACTTCTTGTATTTCTGATTTTTTACTAGATTCTTCAACCTTGCCATCTGACACATCAGGAATTCTACTAGCGGCATTTAATTCTTTGAGAAGATGTAGTGAAGGTACATTTTCTAGACAATCTCCAGATTCTTCCCTGATTTTCCTTGATGATCTGAGAACTGCAGATGGGGTCTGAAAATCTTCTGTTCCACTGTCCCATTCATTTACTGTCTTTGCATATGCAGATAAAGATCTTTCTGATACTGATCTCTCAGACCCTGACAGTGAAGCATCTTAAAGAAAAAGAAATCACCACATCAAAATTATTTAATCACAATCTTTCAATTTTGTGAATCAAAGTTTACAGAAAAGCCAAATTTTCATGGAAAAAAACCCCAAAATCCTCTGGTTAATAAATATAACCTGTTGTGGCTATCTTATAAGTTTTTCTTTTACGAGACTATCACCTGTATCAACAATAAATAGAACATTTAAAATTACTGAACATTCTAAAGTCTGAAATAATTTCTTAAGTGTTGTCTTAACTTATAAAGTGAAGAAAAATAGATCTAAGTTGATGAAGCCAGCGCTTTGCACATTCATCCTCAAATCATGCAAAAACAGAATTGTATGATGGTTATTACAAACATTTTTCAAGCAGGAAACCAGTGAAGGACAAACAGACTTCCATATATACTTCTAAAAGAATACATTTTCCTAGGAGCTTCATCTAAGCTCTTGAATTAAAAAGAAAATAGATCAACTATTTCTGCAAATATAGCACTTTAAGAGCTAAACTTGCAAAATATGATCAAAGTACAATATAATAAGCTAACAAACCAAGAATTAAAGTTTTGAATTCAAATCTCTTTTTTTCCTTCCTTCCCTCCCTCCCTCCCTCTTTCCTTCCTTCCTCCCTTCCTTTTTTTTGTTAAGAGTAACAGGCATCTTGTTCTGTCACCTAAGCTGGGGCGTAGTGGTCATAGCTCCCTGTAGCCTTGAACCCGGGCTCAAGAAATCCTTAGCCTCACTCTTCTAAGTACTTGGGATTATAGGCACAAGACACTGTGCTTGAGCCTATAATCCCATGTACTTAGGAGGGTTGGCCAGATCTCTGTTTTGTCACTGATGTTTCTTTGTGCCTCAGTTTTATTTCCTCACTGAATTGCATTTTATTTTTTGAGACGGTGCTTTATTTTGTCACCCAAGCTGGAATGCAATGACTGATCACAACTCACTGTAGACCCAACTTCTTGGGTGTAAGCAATCTTCTAGCGGACTACAGGTGGACGCCACCATGCCCAGCTAATTTTTGTATGGATGGAGTTTCATCATATTGCCCAGGCTGGTCTCAAACTCATGAGCTCAAGTGATCTGCCCACTTCAGCCTCCCCAAGTATGGGATTACATGCGTGAGCTGCTGCACCTAGCCTACATTTTGTTTTCAATAATTAATTTTCTTTTGGTTAAACTGAAAAAATGTATATAATTATTTATCTGAGAAACAGGCTGAAAACATAGGTAACCAGATTAAAAACCTGGTTGGGGGAATTTAGAGATGCTGAAGATATACTCAGCTATTTAATCTTCATGCTTCAGTTTTTCTCATAAATTCTGGACTGATTCAGTTGGGTGTGGTGGCTCATGACTATAATCTCAGCACTTTGGCTAAAATGCTTTAAAGTTTAACCCGGCTGAGGCGGGAGGACTGCTTGAGCCCAAGAGTTCCAGTCCAGCCTGGACAACAATGGTGAGACCCCCATCTCTTTTAAAGATGAACTGGGTGTGGTGGCATGTGCCTGTGGTCCTGAGTCCTCGGGAGGCTGAGGTGGGAGGATTGCTTGAGCCCAGGAGGTCAAGGCTGCAGTAAGCTATGATCATGCCACTGTACTCCAGCTTGGGTGACAAGAGTGATATCCTGTCTCAAACAAAACAAAAACAAACCAAAAAAAAGGATTCACATAGCCAATAAATCACTTTAAAATATAAAACTAACTTTAAAATATTAAATAATATTTAAGAAATTCCCTTTTTAATTAAAAAAATCTGTAAAGGTACAATTTTGTAGACCTTTGCATAAATCCTTAAACTATGTAGCTACAACTGAAATATTTTTTCTAGTTACATACCAACATGTTCAGCAATAGACTCCAGGGATCCTCTGGAACGTTCTGACTCTGTTAGTGATTTCCAATTCTTTGTCGTTTCAGATCTGACATGTAAAAATTAATGAGCAGAAAGAAACATATTATAATAACTGGTAACAAAAAGCAGACATTCTTTTTATTTTTTTTGAGACAGAGTCTTGCTCTGTCGCCAGGCTGGAATGCAGTGGTGCAATCTCAGCTCGCTGCAGCCTCTACCTTCCAAGTAAGCCTCAGCCTCCCGAGTAGCTGGGATTACAGGCGCGCACCACCACGACCGGCTAATTTTTGTATTTTTAGTAGAGACAGTTTCACCATGTTTGTCAGGCTGGTCTCGAACTCCTGATCTCGTGATCCATCTGCCTCGGCCTCCCAAAGTGTTGGGATTACAGGCATAAGCCACCACGCCTGGCTCAAGTCTACTTTTTAATCCTTCACTATTCTAAAATATGTCTCCTATTTTCTATTCTTACTACTGCTTACTTGAGGCCTGGCTTAGACTATTTTTCTTCCTGCTTCTAAGCTTACTCTCTTCTATTTTTCCTCTGTACTGTGGTCAGAAAAATCTCTGTAAACACAAACATGATTGTGTCACTCTCTGGTTAAAAGCCTTCAGTAGCTTAAGAATATTACAAAGCCATTTAATAGCATATTATGTAGAAATTAAAATGTATATAGTATAATGGAAAGTGTATATGTAACAAAAACACACACAAAATCTAAGCATTAAAAGATCCTGGAAGGAAACATATCTAATTGTTGACATTTGCTATTTTGGGATAGTTGGGTATGGTATGACAAACTTTTTTCTTTTCACTACTTCCCCAGAAATAATAACAGAAATAATAATAGCAGCAGCTAATACACAATGCTTACTGTGTCCTAGGCCCTGTTAAGTCTTTTAACCCTCATAACAAGTGCATTAATCAGGTATTATTATTACTCCTGTTTAATAGGGTATAAACCCCTATTAAAAAAAACTCAAGCACAGAGGGGTTAAAAAACTTGCCCAAAGTTACAGAACCAGCTAGACCTGGAGCCAGGATTCAAACTCAGGTAATGCTAAATTAACTATAATGAGCCCGCATTACCTCTCTAACAAAAAAGTCCCAAAATCTTTTTAAACTTTACTTCAAAGGCTCTACATTTTCTAAAAGGTAAAATACAAACTACTAAGAATACATGAGTACAAGGTTTTTCACAATTTGGCTTTTTTTTTTTTTCTTTCTAAGGTTCAATTCAGGTACACAAATTGGCTTTTATTTATTTTTCCTTCTGCTAACTCCAGCAATATCCTATTATGTTCAGCTTCTATGTTTTGCCAATCTGTTTTTTTACTTTTAGTCACTCATGAATAACCTTCCCTCTGAAATGACCCCTATGTCTCAATTGGACTGATTTGTCTAACCTTTACTTTTTGTTCAAAATTTAATTTAAATATTATAACCTGATTTCCTAATATACAATATTGTATATTCTAATGTTTTAACTTAGTATCTTCTCTATTTGTTTACTGACTGCATAATATTCTATTGCCTGCATAGAACCATCATTAACTGAGCTATTCATCCATTTTTGGACACAAAAATTGTTTCCAATGTTTTATGAATATAAAGAATGTTATGATAAATATATTCATGCAAATAGAGATTTTCAGTACCCCGTATTTTCTCAAGCTAGACTTCCGGGAGTAGGATTACTGGGTCAAAGGTTACAGACTTTCGACTTCAGAAACAAAGCAAAATTGTTTTCCCAAAGGTTCACATCAGCTTATGCTACTACTACCAATATTAGAAAGTACCATTTTCATTGTACCCATCAGACTGCAGGATTAAAAATGTATTTTAAAATCAATATCTTATAAATATAACTTTTAATTTTAATACATGAAAATTTTAATTTACTGACACTAAAAATATAAAGTATTTTTACTTCTATAATTTCAGTTACTTAAAAAGTAGCTTCTATTGAGAATATTTCCTTATTCTTTTCTCAAACAAGGCAGGATATAGACAAGTCATCAAAAATTTCTACCTGTGTAGTGGTGTGAGGGGTTTGATCTTAGGTTTTTCAGAAGCTGAGGAGAGTGTTTTAATCTGAGGCTTGGCTGTTGGTGATGTTTCCAAATCTCGGCTAAGCTCGGCTTCAGTTTTCTTAATAAATTCATCATATGACTAAGTTTAGAAAAATGAGAGGAGTCACTAGGCAGAATTTTAAAAACCCATTTTAAATTATAAAATAGTGTATTTTAAGGTAAAATACTCAATCAGTAAAGAAGATATAATATAAAAATCTCCCTTCCTGCCCCCCGCAACATCATTCCCCAGAGTGCTAGTTAATCTGTATATCCATCTCAAAATAGTCTATACATAAGCAAGATATATAATTGTAATCCCAGCATCAATTAAGAAACGACATTCCACATCTATAGAAGTTTAATACTACAAAGCAATAATTCATACCTTGCCACATTAAAAACTTCTTTAACTGATTATATTATTATTCTCTAAAGGGTATACTACTACTTTCATGGTATTTTTAAGAAGTTAGCCATTCTGCTCTGAGTTTCAATGGCAGTCTCTGATGGGCTAAGTACTTAAGGATACAAATTATGAAAAGAGAAAGGTATGGTTGACAGTATGATAGTGGAGAATTAAAAAAAAATGTTTCTTGGTTATTACCCATTCTGAAATAAAACTTTACTAATTTATAATTTGTATGAAAATTATATTTATAATTTTATAATTTGTAAAACGATGTTCCCTAGTTTTCTGGGCTGAAGTCCTTACTTTTACAGCTCTCACTATTTGAGACTAGTGTTTTATTCAAACTGTATGTCTGGTATACAATGTGCTATTCACAATGCCTGGTCCAAAGTAGCCTATCAATAAATATTTATAGAATGAACTAATATGGATGGATGGATGCTTGTCAACTGCTACAGATCCCTAAAATCTGGGCTGAAATCACTACTTTTACAACTCTCATCATCGACGCTATCTTCATCTGAATTGTCAACATTTTGTTAAAGTAACTCCTGGTATTACAGCACAGCTAGGTGTTCTACACCTACACCAGAGCTAGGTGTTCTAGCTTGGTAGATATACATGAGGACTACGAATACTAAGATCTGAAAGCTCTACATATAGAAGTGCTGTCCATTTATTAAATCTATGATCAAATAAAATCCAATAGACTTTTTATATGAACTGCTATGCATTATATATTTTTCTCTCATATACTATAATTTGAAAAGTGAAATACAGAATTTTCTTTTGTCTTTGTTTAAGCCATTAAGTAGAATACTGGAAGAGACGGATCGTATGGCATTTCTCTAGAGGTCTCTTTTCTGACTGACATAGCTATTAAGGAACATTTTCCACCAAAACTATTCATTCTAATAGTACTTTACCTCCAATAGTTACTTCCGTGACACCTCATTACTTGACATATAGGATGAAATCCAAACTCAACAGTTTGATTTCTAAGGTCCTGAATATAATCTTTATTTTTAAATTTCGTTTCCACTACCTTCCAGCCTGAACTCCTCATTATGGTCTTTGTAACTTAATCACTTTTCCTACTCGAACCATTGTACAAGTTACAATCCCTATTCCATCTCTGTATTATGTACCTGTTTAAAGTTTTATTTTCTCCACATCTATCAACAGGCCTATTTTCTGTGTGGAAGACAATACAATGGTAAAGGCACAGAACTGAAAATTAGAGCTAGATTAAAATCCTAGTTTAGTCATTTATGAGCTGTGTATCCCTGCATAAATCATTAGTCTCACTGAAACTCAGTTTCCTTATCTGTAAAACAGGGATAATAATACCCATACCTTGTTGTGAGGATTAAATGAAAAATATGTGTAATTAGCTGAGCTCCTGGTATATAAACAGGCATGTGAATATCTGATGATTAAATTAATAATGGTAGGAGGAGTATGTATTTGTTATTACACAACAAGGACCAATGGGTGGAGATTAAAAGAACAGAAATTTTGACTAAATACAACAAAGAGCTCTTCTTATACTTAGAGCACTTTGAGTCCAACGAGGAAACCAATTAGCTTGAAAGTTTGAAATTTCCTATTACTGGAAGTGTTCATGTAGAAGTTGAATGACCTTCTCTGGTGATGACATGAGAAGGAATTCTTGTAATGAGTAGGAGATTCAGTCTGATTCTACAATGAATGTCATGTTCTAGGAATGCCGGGCTGGCAGAATGTATGTAATAGGGAAGCAGCGTAAGGCAGAACATTGTACAGACTATGTAGACAGTAGAGGCAAGAGGTCATAAGGGCCCCAACTAGCTTGGAGAACATCTAAGAGAATATGCAGACGGTGGAGGTAGTAGGAATGGACAGGGACAAACAAGGAACTTTATAAAAGAATCCATGGGAACTAGTGACTGGACAGGAGAAAACAAAATAAGAAAGACATCAAAACCAAGTTCCCAGCCTGGGACAGAATTAGCAAGGCTGTTACAGCTTGGGGGAAAATCCAAGTTAAGAGCTATCATTTAGAAGCTATCCAAATAGTAGAGTTGTACTATTTAATAAGTTGTGTGGCATGAAACACCATTCTGTGAAAGAAGGGAAGGAAAGGGGAAAGGGGAAAGGAAAGGAGGAAGGAAAAGGAGAAGGAAAAGGGGAAGGGAACGTGGAAGGGAAGAGGGAAGGAGGAGGAAAGGGGAAAGGGGGAAGAGAGGGGGGAAGGGAAGCAGTAACAATTCCAAAAGCTGAAATTATTTATCTAATGGTTCTCTGCTTACAAGGGCATAGATACCAATCTTTCTTTCAAAGGCCTAATCTTTCTTATTTAGAAGAAAAGTTTTAATACTTTATTTTAATATTTATTTATTTTTTAGAGGTAGGGGTCTTGCTACATTACCCAGGCTGCAGTACAGTTGCTATTCACAAGTGCAATCATGGTGCACTACAGCCTCAAACTCCTGGCTTCAAGCAATTCTCCTCCCTCAGCCTCCTAAGTGGCTGGCGACTAAAGGAACACACCATTGTGTGTAGCCTTAATATTTATTTTAATATTTAAATTTAAAATTTAATGTTTTAAGCAAGAATGTCCTGAGATACCCTCAGATTTTTTTTAAGAGGATAAAATGTGGTACCACACTAATAATGAGGAAACCTAATCCATTACTTTATTAACAACATTAAAAACATTTTAGGCATCACACACACATTAGCCTTGACATTAAACCCCTTTCTTCTATGTCTAACCTCTAACTGCTTGATCAGACTGGCTTCTTGGGCTTTCAGTCTTTCCTTTTGCCTTTTTTTCTGTTCCTTCTTCAGCTGGTTCACAACTGATTTTCTTTTCCGCAACTCATCCTTCAGAGCTCTGATCCTACCTTCAATGTCACTCTGGTCAGAAGTAGTTTCTGAAAGAGATACAAAATATTTTATTTATAATTTTGACTTAGGCATAAAGTTAACTTAATAACTACTAATAAAAAGCTATAATGTAATTTTCCATTTAAATAAAGCCAATCCAATGATTAAAATGATAAAATATGAACTTCTGAAAAAAATTTATTATAAAATACATCCCTGCTTTTCTATAATCTCCCACATACTATTTTTGGCTTGATTCCTCCTATTTTTTTTTTTACTTTCTAATTGTACTACTTGAAATTATAAATAAATCTGCAGATATGCTGTCTTGGCAAGACATGCAGCTGGAAGTTAAGAAATGTTTAGACTGATGAAATGTGGATATACTGCAAGAAATTACTTCTGGTAACAAGATAATCATATTTAACTGTCTTTTCCCTTAGTTGTTAATACATAATTTAATAGTTTTTAAGTCATATTAAAATCAAACTAGAGTTATACCACAACAAATTGCTCGTGATTCATTAGCTGATGGTTTAATACCACATTAAAGAGAAAGAAATTATAAAATAAAAACTCTGCTATAATCTTTGTCTGAAAGCTCTCAAAATATTTAAAATAACTGAAATTAAGCTAGTTAAATCTTTTCTCTCCAACAGTTCACATACACAAGACGTCTACTCATAGCAACATCATGAAAAAGATATTTCACTACAATGTGTCACACATATGCTATGAAAACAAATAGGTAGCAAAGATACTGCTTATTTCATTATACATGGAAATTACATGGTATAGAAATTACTGTTCCTCACAGCTCCCTCAACCACACAATGGTGTCATTGTCATACACTAATGTTGAGTGAGACATTTAATAATCTTACAAAAGAAATAATATCATACACAAATCTTAAGACTCAGATTTAACATTACATCATAAGCCAGGATTTTATCAGTTATTTCAAGTTAAATTTATTAAAAGCTAGTTAAGGAAGTTATTTAAATGCAAAAAGATTATTGTCTTTTTAATAGTGTGGTATATGTATCTGAATAAGGAATAATAAAATCTGAATTCCTGTCACTTCTATGACACTGAGTTAAGGCATACTAGGAAAGTTAGGCTTGTTTTATATTAGCAGGGGCATCATACTGAGCCCTAAGCATAGGCAGAGCTCAATATTTATGTGCTTCCAAAATTACTATTTTGATAAGATTTTGTAGATCACTACATTCTCACAGGCTTAGTTTCAATTCTGCCCCTATGCTAGCAATGATTTTCTACTAAAAATATCTTTACCATCTATGGTTGATGATTTAATAGAAACTGATGAAAAACCTGGAGTTTTTAGATAAAAGGCCTTGGAAAATGTTTATGTTTTTAAGTACTAAAGGAACCAAATGTGGGCCTGGTGCACTGGCTCACGCCAGTGCTTTGGGAGGCCGAGGTTGGCAGACTGCTTGAGGTCAGCAGTTTGAGACCACCCTGGGCAGCATGGCGAAACCCCATCTCTACAAAAAAAAAAAAAAATTAGCCGCATGGGCAGCATGCACCTGTAGTCCTGGCTACTTAGAAGGCTGAGGTGGGAGAATCATTTAAGCCCAGGAGGCGGAGGCTGCAGTGAGCTGAGAACATGCCGCTGCATTCTAGCTTGGGCGACAGGGCTAGAAGCTGTCTCAAAACAAAATAACTTGTTAGAATATCCTGATTTTTAAAAATTAGTTTCTGATTATTTGACACACACTGATTATATTAGCTTGGTTGATAAACTCTCCATCACTTATTTAAAAGCATTATAACTCCACTACATTAATATCTACCACTTCCACAAATACTGAATATAAATGATGTCATCTTGAATAGGTAGTGAATCTGTAGTTTAGAAATCTCAGACCTACTTTTCTAAAACTATTCATTCTTACTTAAATAAGCTCCACCAATAAAACAGTATCTTACAAATGTTATCATTAATCCTTGGTGCATAACTCAAGCAAGGATGGTTGAAACATTATTCCACTGCTAACAAATGAAAAAGATAATCTAGTATTGGCAAAGAAACTTGAAGAAAGTCACCAGTAAGTAACAGATCCAGGATAAGAACCCATGTTTCCAAGTATTCAAGTTTATGTCTACTGACATTTTATTCTTCTGGAAGTAATTTTTTACCAACGTACACAAAAGCAAATTTACAAAAACATTAATAACTTTCCACAGAGAAATATGAGACATTCTTCAACTGTTCTGACTCAAAGTGATTCTATTCCTAAGAATCTATTCCATAGTTAAATACACAAAACGAGCTTTCATCATATATATGATAAACACACATATAAATGATATGTGATATCACACACAGGCATAGAGTTATGTACCGCATATGACAGTTTAGTCAATGACAGACTACACAGCAGACTACATATATATGATAGTGGTCCCAAGATTATAATATTATATTTTTACTACACCTTTTCTATGTTTAGATATACAAATACTTAAATTGCCTACAGTCATCAGTGTAGTAATACTGTACAGGTATTACAGCCTAGGAACAAGAGGCTATACCATATGGCCTGAGAGTACAGTAAGGATCCACAATCTAGGTGTGTCATTCTATGAAGTTCACACACTGATGAAATTGCTTAATGACACATTTCTCAGAGCATAGCCTGGATATTGAGTGATATACGACTGCATATATACATCTGCATAAATATTTACATAAAGATGTTTATTATGTCATTATTTGCAATTGTGAAATATTTGAGAAAATCTACATGGCCATCACTAAGGAAATAGTTCAATAAATTACGGCACATCTACTCTTTGAAATACTATATAGTTAACTCAAAGGAGAGCTATAAATATGGGTGTGGAAATATTCCAGGATTTACTATCGTCTGACACATGGAAAACACAAGTGTATAGCACAGGATCAATGACAAAAACAAACAAACAAAAAACCAAAAAAACATTTTTCATGTTTTCTTTACTAAATACTTACTCTCAAAACTAAAACTGAGTTCAAAAAGCAATACACTAGGAAGGGTGCAGTGGCTCACACCTGTAATCCCAGCACTTTGGGAGGCCGAGATGGGTAGACCACCTGAGGACCTGAGGTCAGAAGTTTGAGACCAGCCTGGCCAACATAGTGAAACCCCGTCTCTACTTAAAAAAAAAAAAAATTCAAAAATTAGCTAGGTGTGGTGGTGGGCACCTGTAATTCCAGCTTCTCGGGAGGCTGAGGCAGAAGAATCGCTTGACCCTGGGAGGTGGAGGTTGCAGTGAGCCAAGATTGCACCACTACACTCCAGCCTCAGTAACAGAGTCAGACTCTGTTTCAGAGGAAAAAAAAAAAAAAAAAAATGCAAGACACTGAATATGTTTAACTCAATATATTCAATATGGCAATACTCATAAATATGATATTAATCCTCCTCACAATCTTACATAAACCCACCATTGACTGTCTACATATGCTTCTTAAGGTCCACAAATTCCTTGAAGCCTTTTAGAGCAGAGGCTGTTCAAATACAACACAAATACAAACTCCTCAGGATTAGTCTTACCTGACTGTGTCATAGATAATGACTCATCTGACCAACTGTAACAGTGCTGATGGGACTTGATAGGCAGGTGACATTGTCCTCCAGTCCTATGACTTCCTTTGCTAGACTCCTGCTTTGACATAGATGTACAGCTTTTGGGAAGTGACTGTTAAAACAGAAAACCAAATGAGAACTATTTGGTGATGTAATTATAAAATTCTATTTAAAATTTGAGATACTAGCCATTTAAAGGTAATATTTACAAAGAATTTAAAATAACTGTTGGACATAAGTGAAAAAAAGTTTACACATTATTCAACCTGGGAAAGCTCATTTTTTTTAAATGGTTACAAATTATAGAAGAGATAAGACCTCAATTTTTTTGAAGAAAAATTATAAGAGCATGCTTTTAACAAGGTTTACAATAAATTAGAAGTGATTATCATGTCAGTGATATTTACTCCCACATTCTTTTAATTTAAAAAATACAAAGTATGTACTACTTTTATGGAAAGGAGAGGGGGAGAGAGGAAGGGAAGAAGAAAATAGAGCATAAGAAGTTTGCCCACAAGAGAACAAAAGAAAATTTCTACAGTGACATCAGGTGGAAGTGAGATGCCTGATTTGATTCCTAGCTACTATCACTTCCTATCCCTGTGACTTTGGGTAAGTTTCCTCGCTTGGGGATTAGAACAGCAGCTACTTTATAGGATTCTTGCCAGGATTAAATGAGATAATCCATGTAAGGCACTTGGTAAACACTTGGTAAGTAAACACTCAATAAGTGTTAGCTTTTGTTATAAAAACCACTTTAGGACATAATAGTTTAGACTTCTGTGTTATATTTTCTTGTGAAAAAAGCTCTAATTTTTAATAGTCAATCAGTTCTTGGCTATTCTGAGCCTCATCAATAATGATGCTAGGTAGAATCTAATCAATTTATAAGAACTAATAAACTTGTAAGATTGTTTAAATGCAGTTTGGTTGTAAATACCTAGACGGTAGAAATTTACAGAATAACAGATAATGCTACAAGTAAATTATCTATACAAGCCTAATATTATCATGTAATAAATAAGAAACCACTAACATAATTATTAAAAATCTTTAATAACCTAAAAATGCTGATTTCAAGTATGTGCACAAGGACACCGGAATATTTTTTAACATAATATTAAATAGGATCTTCATTGAATAAAAAATGTTTTTCTTCTACATCTTCTAGGTGCTGTAACACATATGAATCTAACTGACTTTTCAACAGGGGAAATGAAATTAATTCTTTCCATCCACAATAAAAATAGAAGACTCTAACAAAGGATATTCCATTCTGAATTTGGGTAGATTTAAAATAAAAAAAACATAAAGAGGCTTCAACAATGTCTGTGTATACTTTAGTATATCACAGTATACTAAATATTTAATACTGTTTTGCTAATTTTTTGCTATATTTAACAAAAACAGTTAAGTTTCTATCTTGAGTTTTTACCAGCTAGTTTTTTTCTATAAAGTACATAGTTAAGGACAATGTAGAAAATCTTCTTAGCCTAATAATAGCCATTATTTTAATTTAAAATCAATAACTATTTCAGACCTGCCTTTAAGAGATTAAACCACTATTTTTATTCTATGAGTTATACAGAAGTTATTAACTGAGTTACAGTAAAGGTACTCTTGTATTTTAAGATCTTACTGGTTTTGTTATGTGAAAAAACAAATTTCAGAAAGAAACTGTGTTGTTCCTATAAATTGTTTTTCATACTTTGAAAGTTCCTATTCCCTCAATATTAACAGACTTGATAGCATACGATTTTATAACCTCCATTAATGCCAGAAGTAAATGAAAAGCTTTATTTCTATTCAAATGTTATATCCTGTATGTTACAAGTATGGTGATACAGTAGTTAATACTGTCATTAATAGCAATAATATAACTGTTAGTAATATAACTTTCAGGCAGTTTTTTCCTAGAGAATCTTTAAGATATAAATATACATTAACTTACATGTTTACTAGGAGAGGTAGAAGATTCTAGTTCCTGTGAACAAACCATTTCTTCAGTTAGTATACTGCGATCTGGACTCCCTGGTTGCTCCTGTCCTATAGACTCAGACGGTACGTATTCAACAGCAGGGCTGCCTAATTCTTCTGGAATGGAGCTTTCACTGTTTAGATGAGAGTACAGAGGTACTGGAGATTCCTCTTCACTTGCTATTTCTATCAAGAGAGGGAGAAAACAAGAAAAAAATATACAATCTTGGTCAATGGGAAAATTACACTAATAAACATTGTTTTTAGCATATTATTGCTCATTGCATTTATTTATTATTGTTATTATTACTTTTTGAAACGGAGTTTCACTCTTGTTGCCCAGGCTGGAGTGCAATGACGCCATCTTGTTTCACTGCAAACTCTGCCTCCCAGGTTCAAGCAGTTCTCCTGCCTCAGCCTCCTAAATAGCTGAGATTACAGGTGTGTGCTACCACGTCCAGCTAATTTTGTATTTTCAGTAGAGAAGGTGGTCCCACCATGTTAGTCAAGCTGGTATCGAACTCCTGACCTCAAGTGATCCACCTGCCTTGGCCTCCCAAAGTGCTGGGATTACAGGCATGATGAGCGACCGTGCCTGGCCTACTCACTGCATTTAGATAGAATTTCCTTATCATCATCACTTAACATTTACTATAAAGTCTGTTTAGTCTAATTAAGAATTTCGGCTGATGCCAACTGAGAGAAGATATCTACCGCCCATAATCAGCAATGATAGTAACTTACAATTTAAGTGTTTGCAGGGTGCAGAGCAGTTTCAACTCATATCCATTCCTTTAGGAGTAGAAATTGGTCCAACTACTTTTTGTATTTTTTTTTGAGATGGGGGTCTTATTCTGTCATCCACGGTGGAAAGCAGTGGTGTGACTAGGGCTCGCCATAGCCTTGATCTTCCCAAGCTCAGGTGATTCTCCCACTTGTTTTTCCAATTTTAGTAAAGATGAGGTTTTACCATTTTGCCTGGGCTGGTATCAAACTCCTGGACTCAAGTGATTTGCCCATCTTGGCCTCCCAAAGTGCTAGGATTACAGATGTGAGCCACCGCGCTGGCCTGGTCCAACTACTTTGGTATTACTTGGAAAGGATGAAAACACATATTCTAGCAATTCCAATCCTAGGTATACATTCTAGATAAATCTTACCTATATGCAGCAGGAGACAAGTACATGTTCATTGGCAGGATTGTTGTAGCAGTCAATAATTGGAAAAAACACAAAAGTCTACTGATAGCAAAATAAATTGTGGTATATTTATACAATGAAATGGTGCACAGCACTAAAAAGGAATGAACTAGACTACATGCACTGATGGAGATGAAGATACTATGAATTTTATTTAGCACTCTCAAAATTTATAGCACTGTCTTGCTTTGGGAATTTCCTGTCTATTGTGGCTTCTGCTCTTTCTAAGAAAACAGAATGATGTTTGACACTAAACAAAATTTTGGCACACATTCTTGCATAATCTTACAAATGTACATGGCTTGCTTTCTTTGCCTCCACAGCTAACATGCCTCAAAAGGAGGTTATAATATCAAGCTTTGAGTATGTACTGGAAATGTTTAATGTACTCAAATTTTAAAATGTCACTTAAATATTTTGTCTGTAATTATCTCCTTCTAGACCTGAAATCTGTAAGTTTTTTTAACATAAGAAATACCTATGCCCCCAAATAATGTTTTACTTCAAAAAATAAGAGTGATATGACATTCCAAAGCATTTAATCCAAAATTTAAGAGGTATATTTTTACTGTGTATGTGTGGCATAATAGAAATGGTTGAATGAATGAATGAAAAAATTCTAAAAATCATCAGGGATATTTAATCTATGAAAGACAGAATGTGGGCCAGCCAGGCATGGTGGCACACGCTTGTAATCCCAGCACCTTGGGAAGCCGAGGTGGGCATAAGGTTAGGACGTTGCGACCAGCCTGACCAACATGGTGAAACCCCTTCTTTACTGAAATTACAAAAATAAAAATTAGTTGGGTGTGGTGGAACGTGCCTGTAATCCCAGCTACTCGAGAGGGTGAGGCAGGAGAATCGCTTGAACCCCAGAGGCAGAGGTTACAGTGAGCCAAGATCATGCCACTGCACTTCAGTGTGGGCAACGGAGGGCTCTGTCTCCCCACCGTCAAAAAAAAAAAAAAAAAAAAGAAAAGAAAAAAGAATGTGGGCCAAGTGCAGTGGCTCACACCTGTAATCCTAGCACTTTAGGAGGCAGAGGCAGTTGATCACCTGAGCTCAGGAAATCATGACTAGCCTGGGTAACATGGAGAGACCCTGTCTCTACTTTAAAAAAAAAAAAAAAAAATTAGCCGGCTATGGTTGTGCATGCCTATAGTCCCACCTACTCAGGAGGCTGAGGCACAGGAACTTGAGCCCACGAGGTAGAGGTTGCAGTGAGCTGAGATCATGCCACTGCACTCTAGCCTGGGCAACAGAGCAAGAATCTGTTTCAAAACAAAACACAACAAAACAAAAAAAAAGGAACTTTGAAAAGGGTTTAGAAAATGTTTTAATTTTCAGGTAGTAGAGAATAGAACCCTTATATTTCTGCTTTATAGCCCTCAATAGAGATACTTTATTTTATAATTATAAGTCACCTCATCAAAAGAGAAACTCAAATATAAAAACTATAAAGAAAAAAAATGAAAGTCACCTTTACTACGACCTCCTGAGAGATAACCACCGAGGATTCTCTCATCTGTCTCTTTGGAAGACTTCATTTTTTCCTTTTCCCACATTTCAAAAATTGTAATAGTTTTTTTTTTAAACTTCAAATATTAGAGAAGGATGTAAAGTGACTACTTCACACGCCATCCTCAACCACTTTCGCTTACCTGATTGCCATATCTCAAAGGTAAACCAGTGGTGGGTAAGTTTGGTTGGCAGACGTGTGTCTTTCAAGATCTTTTCCTATACTCCCTGACTTCTTAAAAATTAACTTTGAAAAATTATGGCAAAATACACATAAAATTTACCATCTTAACCAAATGTACAGTTCAGTGACATTAAGTACATTCACACTGTTGTGCAACCATCACCACTATCCATCTCCAGAACTTTTTCTTCCAAAACTGAAACTCTGTACCCATTAAACAAATTCCCATCCTCCCTCACCCTAGCCCCTGACAATCACCAATCTATTTTCTGTCTCTATGAATCTGACTACTCTAGGTACCTCATGTAAGAATCATACTGTATTTGTTCTTTTGAAACTGGTTTATTTTACTAAGCATAAAGTCTTCAAGTTTCATAAACAAATGCAGTATGTGTCAGAATTTCCTTCTTTTTTATGGCCAAATAATATTCCATTGTACATATTTCCCACATTTTGCTTATCCATCTGTTGATGCATACTTGGATGGCTTTTACCCTTTGGCTACTGTGAATAATGCTGTTACAACCATGCATGTACAAATATATCTTTGAGATCTTGCTTTCGATTCTTTTGGATATATATCCAGAAGTGGAACTACTGAATCACATGTTAATTCTATTTTTAACTTTTTTTGAGGAACTGACACACTGTTTCATAGAAGCTGCAACCATTTTACATTTCCAACAGGAGTGCACAAAGGTTCCAATTTCTCCACATCCTCACCAACATTTTTTATCTTCCATTTTTTGATAACAGATATTTTAATTGCTGTGAGGTGGTGCCTCATTGCATCTCTGATTTTTGAAGTCAGAGTTAAATGTCAATAAAAATCTGGCAAAATTTGGACATTTGTAAAGAAATATAAACAGTATCAGCCAATCTTCAGCTTTCTTTTGAAATATATTCCATATAGTGTGACATAAAACAAAATGGAAAAACATCAAAACTTTGTAAAATATATAATCTGCACGCACTGTCCAGTACAGTAGCCATCAGCTACATGTGGCTACTTGAATATCAATTAAATTTAAAATTTCAGTTCCTTAGTTGTACTGCCAAATTTAAAGTGCTTAATAATCACACATAGCTAGTGGCTCCAAAATCTAAAAAAATCTGAAATCTGAAACACTTCTGGTCCCAAGCATTCCAGATAAGGGATATCCAACCTTTAACTCTTTGTGGTTTTCATGCCCTGATTACTAAAGAAGTTGAGCATCTTTTCATAAACCCTTGACCACGCTTAGTGACCATTTGGAGTTCCTCATTTTAAGTGCCTGCTCTTCTAATTTTTATGTGGTTTTCATTTTATTATTGATTCACAGGAGTTATTTATATATTCTTGATACTGTACCTTTTTCAGTCATGTGAGTAGTAAAATCTTATTTTGTATTTTTTACTTTATGACAAAAAACAGAAATTCTTAATTTACTGAAGTCAAATTTATCAATTTTGTACTTTATAGTTTTTGCTTTGTATAACATGTTAAATCCTTATTTCCCCCGATGTCATAAATACATTCTCTTATATTCTAAAAGTTTCATAGTTTTAATTTTCTCACTTAACTGTTTATTTCCTTCTTGGAACAGATCTTTTATATTGTCAGGTAGGAATCCAACTTCATTTTTGCCTCCCACAAACAGGAGAGTCAGCTTCCATAGATGCACAGATCGGGTTATCTGTTTCACAGTCTATTTGTCTCTTTCTGTGCAAATGTATTATTTTAATCACTACACCTTAGAAGTCTTCATACACAGTAAAGTAAGTTTTCTGCATTTTGTGGTTCTTATTTAGTAGTGTTGTTGCTTTTTAGTCCTTTGTTCTTTCGTATAATTTTTTTTTTTGAGATGGAGTTTCATTCTTGTCACGCAGGCTGGAGTACAGTGACATGATCTCGGCTCACTGCAACCTCCGCCTCCTGAGTTCAAGCGATTCTCCTGCCTTAGCTTCTCAAGTAGCTGGGATTACAGGCATGTGCCACCACATCTGGCTAACTTTTGTATTTTTAGTATATATAGGGTTTCACCATGTTGGCCAGGCTAGTCTGCAACTCCTGACCTCAGGTGATCCACCTGCCTTGGCTTCCCCAAGTGCTGGGATTACCAGTGTGAGCCACCGTGCCTGGCCTCATATAAATTTTTTAATGAGCTTGTCAAAGCTTTCCTACAAAGAAATCTTGCTGGATTTCTCACGTAAATAGTCTTGAATCTATAGACTAACTTAAGGAGAGTTAGTACCTTATGACAGTGAATCTGTGAATATGGAATAATGTTCTATTTATTTTGTCTTTTTTTTTTTTTTTGAGACAGAGTTTNACTTCAAAAGGTGGTGTGGGGAGTAAGTGAACTCTTAAGAACCCTCCGAACACAGAAACGCCATGTAAGTATTTAATAGCCATCATTTTTTTTTTTCTTTTTTTTTGAGACGGAGTTTCACTCTTGTTACCCAGGCTGGAGTGCAATGGCACGATCTCGGCTCACCGCAACCTCCGCCTCCTAGGTTCAGGCAATTCTCCTGCCTCATACTTTTTGAGACAGGGTCTTGCTTTGTCACCTAGGCTAGAGTGCAGTGGCATAAACAAGGCTCACTGCAGCCTTGACCTCCCAGGCACAAGCAATCCTCCCTGCCTCTGTCCCCTAAGTAGCTGGGACTACAGGCATGTGCCACCATGCCTGGCTAATTTTTTGTAGAGACAGTGTCTGGTCATGTTGCCCAGGCTTGTTGTGAACGCTTGAGCTCAAGAGATCTGCCTGCCTCGGCCTCCCAAAGTGTTGGGATTATAGGCGTGAGCCACTGGACCCAGGTTATTTCGGTCTTCTTTAATGTCTCCTAATAAAATTCTAAATTTTTCCATTTAAAGATCTTGTACACTTTTTGTTAAATTTTATTCCTACGTACTTCATTTTTTTGGTTTCTATTATATTTTATTTCTATTTGTTTCTTTTTTAAAAATTAGATTTTTCTAATCAATTTTTGCTGATCTATAGACATGTAGTTGAGTTTTGTATATGAATTTTATAACCAGAAACCTTGCTAAGCTCACTTATTAATTCTAATAATAAACACGTAAATTCTGGATTATCTATGTGTATAGCTTTATTAATTGTAAATAATGAGAATTTTGCTTCTTCTCACTCTATATAGCTTTTAATACTTTTTCTAGCCTTAAATGTATATGTAGGACCTCTACACAATGCTGAATAGAGCTAAAAATAAGCATCCTTGTCTTATTTCCAAACACAAAGGAAGTTTCTATGTTTTACCATTAAGGATGGTATCTATCACAGGTTTGGTTTTTTGTTGTTGTTAATATCCTTTATTGGGTAAAGAAAGTTCCTTTCTATGGCTACTTTGATGTGAAGTTTATTTATTTTATCATAAATGCTTTTTATTTTTACTTATTTATTTATTTATTTATTTTTTTGAGACGGAGTTTCGCTCTTGTTACCCAGGCTGGAGTGCAATGGCGCGATCTCGGCTCACCGCAACCTCCGCCTCCCGGGTTCAGGCAATTCTCCTGCCCCAGCCTCCTGAGTCGCTGGGATTACAGGCACACGCCACCATGCCCAGCTAATTTTTTGTAGTTTTAGTAGAGACGGGGTTTCACCATGTTGACCAGGATGGTCTTGATCTCTTGACCTCGTGATCCACCCGCCTCGGCCTCCCACAGTGCTGGGATTACAGGCTTGAGCCACCGCGCCCGGCCTTACTTATTTATTTTTTTGAGACAGGGTCTCACTCTGTCACCCAGGAATACAGTGGTACCATCTCAGCTCACTGTAACGTCTGCCTCCTGGGCTCAAGTGATTCTCATGTCTCAGCATCCTGAGTAGCTGGGGCCACAGGCATGCACCACCATGCCCAGCTAATTTTTTGTACTTCTGGTAGAGACAGGGTTCCACCATATTGCCCAGGCTGGTCTCGAACTCCTGGATTCATGTGATCCGCCCACCTTGGCCTCCCAAACTCTTGGGATTACAGGTGATGCTTTTAATCCATTGAGGTGATCAATTTTTCTCCTTTAATCTGTTTAAGGTAATCCACCACAATATCATCTTTTTAATGTGTGTTAATCCCACTCTGTCACTAAGTATTAGGATTTGTATATATAGTTGAACTTAGTGTGCTAATATATAATTCAGGATAGGTAAGACTGGCCTTTGCTTTTCTGATACTGTCCTTTTATGGACATAATATCAAGCTTATATGCTAGCCTCATAAAATGAGTTGAGAAATGTCTATTTTTCTACTCTCTGAAAAAGTAAAGAATTATAATACTAGTTTATCCCTCCCTTTAAAGTCTTATATACTGGTAAAGGTAAAGAAGGTCAATGTAAAAAGATGCTTAGCTACTGGGGTACAATTCCTCTACTGGTGGAAGAATCAGGGGGGTTCTCTTACCTTACTGAGTAAGCTTTGGTAAGTTGTAGTTTTTAGAAGAATTTAGTCATTTCTTGTAAGTTTTCAAGTTTATATTGGAATAAAGGTGTTATAATTTTTTTATCTTTCTAGCATTTGTGGTTATATCAGCTTTCTCATCATTTGCATCACCTTAATCATTTTCATTTTAATTATAATTTTTTTTAGAGAGAGGTCTTACTCTGTCACCCAGGCTGGAGCACAGTGGGGGTGATCATAGTTCTCCATAACCTTGACCTCCTGGGCTCAAGCAAGCTTCTCTCCTCAGTAGCTAGGAATATAGGCATGCACCACCATGCCCAGCTACTTTTTAAATTTTTTGCAGAATCGGAGTCTGCTATGTCACCCAAGCTGGTCTGGAACTCCTGGTCTCAAGCGATGCTCCAGCATTGGTCTTCAGAAGTGCTGAGATTATAGGCGTGAGCCACTGAACCCAGCCTCTCATTTTTAAAAGTCATGAAATAAATCTTTCAATTATGTTAGGCTTTAGTTTTCAGTCTGAACACAGTCAGTATTTATTACCTTTCTGTTCTGTTCTCTGGTCCTCCAGTTCTTTCTTAGGAGTTTTGGGTTTTATTAATTCTTTGTCCCAAGCAGCCAAAGCTTGTTTTTCCATTTGACAGATTTCTGCTTCTTCTGCATCCAGTCGTCGCTTCCACTCTAGGAGCTCCTCAGCATGTTGTCGCCGTTGCATTAATTTTTGCTCTCGCTTTGTCAGAAACCTATGGTCATACCATGAAGAACAGTTTGAGAGAACAAACCAATAGAGATCACTTTGAGAGCTCTATCACTCACCACCTTATCAACAAGTTGTGCAAAAGTAGAACATTCACACTACTCTTCTCTCTGAAAAAAGCTTGAGATAATGGAAGATTTCATAAGTCAACTTATTCAGAAAATGGCGAAATTTATGTTTTACTCATAAAGGTTTGTAAAGTTAGCAAAGGGAAAATAGTATATTCAGAAAAAAACCTTCAGAATATCTAGACAACCATAACTGATAATGTTCACACATACATATTCATTTTTTGTAGGTTATTCTTTTCCATAACAGAAGATGTAAGGAATTTATTCTGAAGGCTCAGACTAGAAAACACACAAACCCCAAAATAACAAATACCAAAAACAACAATAAAAAACAAACCCCAAAGCCCCAAAACAAGCAAGCAAACAAAAAACATGTTCATGTCCCTTTTTCACTTTTATTTTAAATTTCTGACTGGCTTTGCTTCAGGTTTAATGAGTTTTGCTTCTTCTATTACCTAAGAAATGCAACGTCAAGTGGTAAATCTTTTTTTCATGGAGAGAAATGAACACCACAGTCCAGTGTTTAATGCATGTAAACATAACTATTTATTTACTTGAGTAAAGGAATGCATCAAACTCTGAATTTAATCTGATTTCTGAACTTAAATAGCCAATGATATCTTAGGCCTAAAGGGTTAGAATAAATTACTGAGTTAGGAAAAATTACTTAGTTTAGAGGCTACTAATAAACCATCTTCAAATGTAGATGCCACAACTAAATAAAATGTGAGCTGCTCACATTACTGGTGTTACATCTATGTGGTAGTTAACCAACAAACATGCATTCATGTATCGCACAAACACTAAAAAGCACAAGAATTGTCACTCTACTTCTTGAGCAATGATCATGAGCAATCATCAAATTAATGTGGAAACAAAAGGTAAAATTTATGGGACATTTGACAAGAGGCCTCTAGGCTATTAAAAAAAAAAGAGAGAGAAAAAGCAAATAAAACAAACAAAAAGAACAGAGCATGCTCTATCAAAGAGTGCACTGAAAAAGGTGCAAAGTTACCTGACCAACTGGTTGTAGATATACAGCTGGAATTTGGGATGAAGGTTGGGAAAACAGACACTGAGAGAGGCCCAGTGATGAGACGTAAAGACAGAGAAGAAGTAGTGAACAGGAGAGCAGTGTCTACAAAATAAGGAGGAAGATTTTAAACCAAGAGATCAAGAGGCAGAAAGAATGAGAAAGGGAAAGCATAAGAGCTGAGTGAAGAACTTTTAATCTGCTTCCTGAAGAACATTATAAGCGACTCAGTTAAGCAGGCATTACACTCTCTGTGACATTTAAAAAAGTATACTTTTATAGATCTTACCAATGATTTCTGAATAAACATGTCTTTCTTCTCAAATGCTGTTTAACCACCATCTACATTTTCAGTTAAATTTACTTATTTGTCAGTAAAGTAAGTACACTGTGGGACTAAATTAGTTTTCAATTAAGCTTTAACAGATAGTATAACAATTATGGCCATGAACCTAGTATATCAGCAACTCTACATACATACGTAATCCTGAGCAAGTGATTTTTTTAATCTGTACCTTGTCATGTATTTTAAGTATGAAGTTAAATTTAAAAAGTACTACATTTGCCTTACTTAACCTTACCATCACAATCTAGCTTGAAAATAATATAATTTAGTAAACTGATTTACACAAAAATACCCTACAACATAAAACTTACTGCTAACAGGACCTACTGGAGGCATCTTGCTTTATAACTAACAAAGGCCCACTTAATTAATAATATCGAAATACAATACCCATTCTATAAGATATCAGGGTGCATAATTAATAAAGTGAGCTAGTCCCAATAAATACTGTCAATTGAAAAAAACAAAAAAAACTGCTATGGACAGCTTACTCCTAAGGTTAAAGGTAAGAAGAACATTCCATTTTACAGTTATAAAAGCAGGAAAAAAACACCCCAAATTTTCTTCTTTTGTAACAGTAAATAGGTGTGTATAGGTGTGTGTGTGTGTGTGTGTATGTGTGTATAAAAAGTCCAGTAATAACTTTGGAAAGGTTAATCCTCTTTGACAGAGCATGCTCCTGTTCACATGCACAACAACAATAACTTGTAGATCAAGGCAACATTTTTTGCCTTGGAAGGGCAAGGAGTAATATCAGTATGTCATAGAAGTGAGAAAATCTAGGTATAAATCCAGCCATTCATTTGGATTCTTAAAATTATGTATAATCCTGCCTACATGTATTTGTAAATAGCAGACTATTTTAATGTCTGTTTCCCCACATATCACATATAACTTAGTATTTCATTTCTCCTTCACTTACACACACACACACACACACACACACAAAAACACACACATTCACATCTGGATTGCCTTGATTTTCTGCACTGAAGTTCAAGGAAAAACATTTTTGCTAAATTTAAAATTAAGACATTGCAATCTTCCTTGCCATTCTTTATGAATGTACAATAAGCTTATTTTGATGCCAATTATCAAAATATTATGCAAAACAAAGCACTTGGCAAAAGGCTCAAAAAACCTATTCACAACATTCAAATATCACCCACCCTCTTAAGTGCATAACTGCTAAATGCATGCATGACCTAGTACAAAAAGTAAAATAATATTGGAACATGTGAAATAAACTTTAAAAATGTACGATTTAAATTTTTTGTCTAGCCCAACATAGAAAACAATAATTTTCCTCTATTAAAGATTAAGCATATTCAAAAGCTCTAGTTTCAGAATGAGGAACAAAATAACTAATAGAAAGTGAAAATAAAATAGTTTAAAAACCAGTGTAATAAAAGTTTAAAATTAGAATTTCTTTCCAGAAACATGTTCCTTATTAAATATAAATACATTCTATAAAAAGTGCCCTTTAATTAAATATAAATACATTCTTATAAAAAGTGCCCTTTAAAAGTTGAATAAAGTTGAGACAAAAGAGCATTATTTCTAAATAGAATTGATCATCCTTCAAGATGCTACATAGGAAAGAAAAAAAATCGTGAATGATGGAGACATAAATGCCTACTAATATAAAATGCTTTTGATTGATGTCAAGGCATTCTTCCCCCAACAAGTCCTCTGATGGTAACAGAACACTGGACAAGAAAAAGATATACAACAGATTCAGTCTAGTATGGAAATCATTATGGCTAATTTTTTGTATTTTTAGTAGAGATGGGATTTGACCACGCTGGCCAGGCTGGTCGTCAACTCCTAACCTCAAGGTGATCCACCGCCTCAGCCTCCCAAAGTACTGGGATTACAGGCGTGAGCCATGGCACCCACCTGGCCAGCTTAATTTACCTTTTTTTTTTTTGAGACCGAGTCTTGTTCTGTCACCAGGCTAGAGTGCAGTAGCATTATCTCGGCTCACTAAAACCTCCAACTCCCTGGTTGAAGGGATTCTCCTGCCTCAGCCTCCTGAGTAGCTGGGATTACAGGCATATACCACCATGCCCAGTTAATTTTTGTATTTTTAGTAGAGCCGAGGTTTCACCATGTTGGACAGGATGGTCTCGATTTCCCATCCTCGTGATCCGCCTGTCCCGGCATTGCCGAAGTGCTAGGATTACAGGCATGAGCCATTGCCCAGGCCTTAATCCACTTTTAGTCACACTTTCACATCTGAACTTGCTCTGTACAGCTATTCAACTGCAGTAATTAGCTATCTAGCACTCTGCTAATTTCAACAAAATACTATTTAGAAGGATCAGTTTCTACTGAAGATAACTAAGTCATCGATTTAGGTTTAAAAAAAAAAATCTATAAAAAAAAAAATCTATGAGGTTGAAAGCAGAGATGCTAACTTAACTTTAACTTTAGCTAGCTGAACTCTGGAGAGGAGGATTCTAGTTTCAGCTCTACCATTCTGCTGTGTGTGTGACCTGGGGAAAGCTACATAAACTCTGTGGGCCTCAATTTCTTGATGAAAAACAAAGGGACTATGCTTGATGACTTCCCTAACAGCCCTTCTAATTTTAACATTTTATCACTCTTTCTCCATTGGAGTATTTCCACTTATTTTGTACCTCAAAAGACTGCTAGATCATGTGACTGCTAGACCATGTGACATGAGAACTTTTGTTGCCCACAGAGCTAATATAATTGTGGTCTGCATTCCAACACATTATAAAATGATTCCATACTTTGAATAAAATTATGATCTAAATTTTAAATGGAACTCCTAGGTGTAAAAATCTTTTCATTATAAAAGATACCAAAAATCAACAAAATCTTAATACCTTCACAGAAGAAAGATTTACAATTCTACATTTGTTTGGGATGTTACTGTGCTTCCATTATCATTAGTTGCTCATATACCAAGGAGTCCATGGATCCCCTGGAATTGCACGTAAAAGTGTATATATAATATAAAGCATTATTAAATTTGGTAATATGCAGTATACTGCCGAAGGTTATCAAGTTAAAATTTACATTCAATCTGTAGTAGTTCAAATTGCGCACTTAAATGGTAGTCAACAAAAATTTCTAATTTCTCCATATTTAATGGGTTTTGAGGAAGCTAGATATGCGGCAGAGGTTTCAGAGGCAAGGACAGATTCCACAAGCATCTACTTTATAACCATATTTAATTACATATACACCTCAAAGAGTAAAGTCTCACATAATGTCATTTTATATGGTCAACACTGATGTATAACTGAGCTATGTCTAAGTTGGAGAAGCTTCAAGAGTCCTTACAAAATAATTCTTAAAACTATTTTAGAAGAATGTTAGACTAACAAATTAACATTCCTGGAAAACTTCAGCCTTTCTGGTTTCAGCTAAGGAACTCATACCAACTCACCAGATTAACATTTCATCTATTTGAATAAGCCTTAGAGGTGCCAGAGAGCCACAGGATGAAATGTCAGGATATAACATTAGTTGCTTCCCCGAATTAGCAGACGTGCCTTTCTTTTAATAAAAGAAAGTGGAAAACTTTATTATGGGTACACGTGCAGATATTAATTTTTTGTGTGTGTGTGTGACAAGAGTCTAGCTCTGTCACCCTAGGTAGAGTGCAGTGGTACAATCATAGCTCACTGCAGCCTTGACCTCCTAGGCTCAAAGGATCCTCCCACCTCAGTCTCCCAAATAGCTGGGAATATAGGCACATGTTACCATGCCCAGCTAATTTTTTAATTGTTTTGTAGAGATGGTTTCTCACTATGTTGCCCAGACTGGTCTTGAACTCCTGGACTCAGGTGATACTCTTGCCTCAGCTTCTCGAAGTGCTGGGATTATAGGTGTGAGCCACCACTCCCAGCCTTGTTTTTTTTAAATAAGACAACTGTTTATATTAAAATTGTTTTATAAATAAGATCTACAGTTAATTGGCTTCTAGGTTGATCTAACAATTCTGCTAAAATGCTACTAAATGCATAAAATATTTTGTCTCAATCTAATGAAGTATATTAAAAGTGTTATTTGTTGTACTACTTTCAGTGTAACTAAGCAAGAGATATTTATAAAAATGAATTACTTTTCATCCATGCGGCTTCTCATTTTCTTCAGCTTCTGCATAATGCTGCTAGTTTCACTGCTAGAGATTGAAATGGGAGAAGGACTGCGGGTCTCCAAGTCAGTTGGACCAGGACTGGATGCCTTATTATCCTTTGTATCATCATCACTATGAGAGTCCTGCAAACAAAAAGAGGCAAAATTGTATTGGGCTTTAAGAGGACCCTGAAGCCATCATAAATACAATTCAAAATTAATACAATGTCACAATACAATATTTATAACAATAACTGAAAATAAGATATTAAAGGTTAAAATATATCATACACTTAAAAATTGTTAAACTAGTACATTTCATATTATGTATATTTTAATATCATTTATATACAGAGAGAAAAAGGGAATATCATAACATATAATAATCTTAAAAAAGAAGAAATGTAAGAAATCCAAAAAAGTTTCTGCCATCAGTAATCTATGTACATGTCCTCTCTGAGATTTTAAAGTTGAACCATCAAAAGGAATACAAAATTAAACATTGTAAATCTATAAAACATGTATGTACAGACAAAAAGAATGACTGGAAGGCATAACATTTACTCTAATCATACTAGGGCATGGCTTTTTTCCTTTGAATATTCCTTATGTGAAACAATGTTTTCAAAAATTTACAAAGTTTGTAAAGAAAACATTTGGAAAATATTAATCAATACATTATTTCTGATAAGCAAAATGTAAAAGCTTAATTGTTTAGTATAATTTCCCCACAAATAGTCATTTGTCTAACTTTTCAGGAAGATGGGTAGGGACAGTCATAACTGTTTTTATTTTGTAAAACAAAGTAGAGTCCCTGAGCTTCCCTTTCTTCTTCCTGAACAGTTCAGTCTTAAAGTCACTGGATGGGACAGAGCAAGGCAGCCATCTATAAAGAGATGGAGGGAGACAGGAGGCCAAGAGTGGGGTCTCAGGACCTGAGCAGGATGAAGACGGCATCTAACGCAGGAGGATGACCGGTAAGGAGAATCAAAGCCCAAGAAGGCCAACAAGAATGTCATATGGAAGCGACCCAACACACAAATGCAAGCCCAAACACAGTGAGGATGGCCTTACCACAGAGAATTTCCTAGCACAAGAGGCAGAGTCCAAAGAGGGTAAGGAAGAGAAGGTGTGAAGAGATGGGAACAGCCCAACTTGGGGAATCAGAACCCAGGTGGAATGAGAGGGGCATCTACTTACTGTAATGCGCAGATTAAATGGTGGTAATGTATCAATGTTAATTTGTTGGCAACTTACTCTCAGATAACTCAGGATTATAGAATTTTTTTGTACTGTTTGACATTTTTTTTCCAAAATTTAAAGGTTCTTTAAAAATCAAATCATAGCATATTAGAGATTTAAAATATTATACTGCTACTGCTATATAGTCTAGTTTTCTCACACTATAATGACTTTTTTTTTTTTTTTTTTTTGGAGACAGGGTCTTGCTTTATCACCTAGGCCGGAGTACAATGGTGTGCTCACAGCTCAATGAGCTTAATGCACCCTCGGCCTGTTATGCTGAAGCAATCCTCTACCTCAACCTTGCAAGTAGCTGGGACTATAGGCACATGCCATGATGCCCAGCTAATTTTTGTATTTTTTGTAGAGCTTTGGGTTTCGCCCTGTTGCCCAGACTGGCCTCAAACTGCTGAGCTAAAGCAATCTGCCCACTTAGGCCTCCCAAAGTGTTGGGATTACAGGCACAAATCATGGCACCCAGCCCTACACTGACATTTTATAGTACCTTAGAACAGGTCCACTGGATATGGTGGCTCACGCCTATAATCCCAACACTCTGGGAGGCTAAGACAGATGGATCACTTGAGCCCAGAAGTTGGAGACCACTGTGAGCAACATGGCAAAAACCTATCTCTACAAAAAATACAAAAAATCAGCTGGAAGTGGAGGTGCATGCCTGTAGTCCCAGCTACTCAGGAAGCTGAGGTGAGAGGATTACCTGACCCCCAGGGAGGTCGAGGCTGCCGTCAGCTATGATTGTACCACTTCATTCCAGTCCAGGTGACAGAGTGAGACCCTGTTTCAATAAAAAAAAGGAATAGGTTCAAATTTTGTCTGTGTCTGGTATCTGCTTTGAATCATGTATCATTGTATTAAAGTTGGATAGCTAAAATGAGTATTATGTAAATACTAAAACAGTCTCCCCCATTAATTCTGAAGAAAACATTTGGATTGATGAGTAATAGCAAAGCCCTCTGTTCCAATTTAGTTTGTAAGTGAAAAATACTCTAAATTAAACCAATATTATGTAAGAACCACATGCCCCTTTAAAAACTTGTATATACAATAGGAAAAAATAAAATAAAACTCTCACTATACATTAGGGCTTTGCTACGGTTTGAATGTTTGTCCCCTCTGTAACTCATGTTGAATCTTAAGTCTCATTGTAACATAAGAGAGTGGGAAATCAGACTATGGTATTTGAGAGCTTTTGGAAAGGTAATTAGAAATAGATGACATCATGAGGGTTGGACTTTAGTGACTTAATAAGAGAAGAAAGAGAGCACTGAGCTAGCACGCTTAGTCTGCTTGTCATGTGATGCCCTGCATCACCCCTTGGACTCTGTGGAGAGTCCTTACCAGCAAGAAGGTCCTCACCAGATGTGGCACCTTGACCTTGAACTTCTCACCTTCTAGAACTAGAAGAAAAAATGTTGCTCCTTTATAAATTACCCAGTCTTAGGTATTCAGTTATAGCAACAGAAAATGGACTAAGACTGGCACATCCATAGAACTTTATCTTAGTCCATTATTGTATCATACTGCTCGAATGAATATCATCTTAGAACATGAGACAGGGCTGGATATCGGCAGTCCACATAAGACAGGAAACAAATCATAACTTCATGTAATTTACCAATTTATTCTCCCCTGCAGACTTCAACTTCTCCTGTAGTTTTATGGTGGTCTGTCGGATCCTTTCAATCTCCTCCTGCTGTTTAAGAATCAGCTGTCTTTCCTTCCGAGCTGCCTTATTGGCTTCTTGAAGACGTTTTATTTCTGCCTAAGGTTTAAAGAGGTAGGAGAGGCATTATGATGGGGAGAAGACAAGGCCAAAGTAATATTTTAAAAAAATCATCACATATATTAAAAATAAACACATATAATACATACAGTATCTTATAATAGAAGTAGTAATACAGGAAAGTTTTAAAAGTAGCGAGGGAGGAAATAAATCATATACAATCCCACCATTCTAAAATAATTTAATATTATCCCTTAAATTTATTTAAATTATACTTAGATTGATAATTTCATATCCTGTTTTAAAACATAACATATATTTCACATTTTTCCATGCTACTCAATGTTTATACTTACTAGTTTAATAGTTGCTTATCAAGTAATCTAATTAATGTAACTATTATTCTACTGCTAAACTTTTAGGGCCCTATAATTTTTTACTATCCCAAAGAATGCTTTAATGCCCATAGCTGTTTCATACCATGGACTAGTTCTTTAGGAGAGATTTCTATAAGTAAAATAACCAAGTCAAAGACAGTAAATCATTTTATGGTTCTTAAAAACAGTTGTTTAAATTGCTTTAAAAAAAAACCTGCTTTTGCCTACAGTACTACCAAAACATTAAAGCTACATTGCACCAATCTCTCTCCAGACAGATTATTACGTTTTCAGTTGCTATGTGGGCAGAAGATAATATACTTCAATGCTAATAACTGTCAAAATTTAACAGAGAATCCTTTTTTAAAAATAAATTTATTTAAATCTGTTTTCTGGGCATGGTAGCTCACACCTGTAATCCCAGCATTTTGGGAGGCCAAAGCAGGCAGCTCACTGGAGACCAGGAGTTCAAGACTAGCCTGGGCAACATGGTGAAACCCCACCTCTACAAAGGACTCAAAAATTAGCCAGGCGTGGTAGTGCTCACCTGTGGTCCCAGCTGCTTGGGAGGCTGAGGTGGGAGGGTCAACCTCAGCCCAGAGGTCAAGGTTGCAGTGAGCGGAAATCATGCTATTGCACTCCAGCCCGGGCAATAGAGTGAGACCCTGTCTCAATCAATCAATCAATCTATCTATCTACTTATCTATCAATCAATTTTTTTTGTCAATAAAGCATAATAAAGACATAAAATTTGTTAGTTGTAATTATTTTAATCATTGAGAGTTTTTGAAACTACCTTAAAATGCAAGAAAGTGCTTAAAAAACACCTACATTTCCAAAACACCAAGTTAACAATTGTTAATATTCAGTTACATATTCTCCTAGTCTTTAATCCTGTAAAGAAATAAAATATTACAGATAAAACTAGTCTGCAATCTTGTGCCCAGCCCCTCAGAGGTAACAACTATCATGGGTTTGGTATCTATCCTTCCAGTACATTCTTTTTAAATTCTCCTAAAAATATTTGTGCTTATCTGCAAAAAAAGATAAACTATTTGGTTTGTATGTTTAAAAATATTTTATAAAATATCATACGTACATATTTTAAATCTTGCTTTAAAAGATATCACTTTTGATATTTCACCATGCAAATTTATGCCTTTTAATGCTGCATAAAATTAAACTGGAGAACCATCTATTTATCTACCACCCATATGGTGGGATTTTTATTTTTTACATTTTTTAGAGACACGGTCTTGCTCTGTTACCCAGATTGCAATGCAGTGGCCCAGTCACAACTCACTGTAGCCTCAAACTTGTGGGCTCAAGTGATCTTCCCACCTTAGCCTCCCAAGCAGCTAGGACTACGGGCACGTGCCGCCATTCACAGCTAATTTTTAATTTAATTTAATTTTTTTTGTAGACACAGGCTCTTGCTATGTTGCCCAGGCTGGTCTCAAACTCCTGGCCTCAAGTGATTCATCTGCTTTAGCCTCCCAAAGCACTGGGATTATAAGCGTGAGCCATTGTGTCCACCACATATGGTGGGATTTTAAGGCTGTCGTCTATTTTTTTTTACTATTCTACAAACAATGCTGTAAGTGAAGAGCCTTATATTTTTGTCTCCTTGAGCATATTTGTAAATTTTTCTGGAGTAGCTGTTTTCAAAGTGTGCTCTATGGAGTCCCTGGAAGTCTTGAGACCCTGTCAGTGGACTCTCAGCATCAAACCATTGTTTGTAATACTAAATACATTTTTAGCAAATACATCACTTGCTCTTTTCCACTCTCATTCTCCCATGAGTATACAATGGTTGTGTACATTTTAAAGAAAATAACTATATTTCCCAAAACAAAAAATAATTTAGTGAAAAGAATGACATTTTATAGTATTGCAAATCTCTTTATCACCTAGCTTGATTTTTCTTTTTTTTTTTAACATTGTGCATTGGTCATTGGGAAAATGTTGGTTCACTAAGGTATGCGGATTTTCTAAATGTTGACACATTTCATTATGAAATATCAAAAAATTATACTCATTAATATTACCATTAATCTCAAAAGAAAAATTATTTTGGGTGGCCAAGAGAAATTTTTCAAAATTCTGACTTTTGTGTGAAAGCTTGAATTTTATCATTGGCAACATACATTGTCAGTTTTTTTTTGTTTGAAATGACAGGCATACTTTTTTCGTTTTTGAGAAAAATATCTGTCAAATACCCAAATCTGAATCAGCACAGTTTGCCTTGAATCATTCTTTCAAGTAAAAATGCTATTCCATGCTGGGGGGCAGCGGGGGGAAAGGCTTGCAATTCAAACAAGCACACAAATACTTCTTGAATTAATCACTATATTCTGGTATCCAGCAAAGGTGCTTCATAATGGACTTCCCATTTCTGTCATGCAGAATACAAAAAAAGACATGTACTCAAGGGTTCAAGACAATAAAACTAATAATTCTTACTACTTAACTCAGGACATTCTTAAGTGAAACTTTTTTTTAAACTGTGAGTAAGTGGCATGAAGAATAAGACAATTACCAAAACAGTTTGGTGCCAATGACTTGTGCTAAAGCACCAGCAGTATTACTCAGCATTGTTTTCTACCATTTAGTGTAAAATGTCAACACAACGAAAAGGGCAAATTCATATCCAATCCCAGCATCATTATGAAAATAGTTTAACCTTCCAGACCTGTGAAAGGGTCTTAGTGGCCAGAGTTTCACAAAAGATATTTTCAAACTTCTACTAACCTAAGCCTGAGTTTCTGAACCAAATAATGTATAAATTCACCCAATTCAAGCCCAGAAGAAAAAAGAGATGACTTCTAAGGAATACTTGGAAAACAAGGTTTGCTCCTCTTGTAAGAATAACTCATAAGGTTGTACAAACGAATTGTTCACATTAAAATGGTGAAAGGTATAGGTGAATTATTCACTTTATTAAAATGGTTATTTTTATGTTTTATGAATGTCACTTCAGGGAGTGAAATAAGAATAAGACATAGAAAAATATGGTGTCTCTTTTTTGGATACAGTTGTACCAAATCGCTTAGAGCCAGCCATTTCACTATCAGTCAAAAAGAATTCTTACGGATACAGCGGCAATGAATATCTTAGCACATATATTCTTACACTTTGATTCATTTAACTTTATAAGGCAACTTTTCAGGGGTAATCAATTGGATCGAAGAGTATATTTTGCACATTTACTTAAAAAATTCTTAAGTTATTACAAACAGAGAAAGTAGTCACTCATATCCCTACATTGGCATTAAACACAGTTAGCAGTTTGCACATTTGTTTCAAATCTGTTGTGGTCTATAAATAGATAAACACAGATGAAACCAAACTCCATGCCAATCTCTTCCTCCTTCCTCTCTCCCCTAGAAGTGTTATCATTCCTATTTGCTTTTTTTACTTTCGATGCATGAGTGATTCCATAAAACATATACTACTAACAGGTTACTTAAAAAATTTTTATATGACTGGTATAATACTGCATATATTATTTGCATCTTGCTTTACTATAAAAAAGAACATTATGGTTTTTGATAAGTGAAGATCTAATGTTACACTGTCCCATATGACAGCTTCTAGCTACATGTGGCTAGTAGCTACAGTACTGGACACCACAGACACAGAAAATTACCATTTCAGAAATCTCTATAGACAGTGCTGATAGCTAATATATTCAGTTTCCTACACTATTATACTTTCTTGCAAGAATATGTTTTATCTCATCTATTCTTTTATTGAAGAGGTTAAATTATTTCCATTTTCCTCTGCACATATGTGAAAGCTTTCTTAGGATATATACCAAGACAGAACTGCTGAGTCATATATTATGTATGTCCTCAACTGAACCAGATATTGGCAAGTGCTCTCAACTCAAAGTGGTTACACCAGTCAACTCTAACCAGCTACACAGAGAGGCAGTGATAAAACGGGAGACTCAGGAGACCTCAAATTCTCATTCTCCTCAAAGCAGTTGTCAAGTCCTGAAGTAGCACACAGAGGGCTAAGAAGTTAACCCAGAAAAGTCTCAAAAGCAGAGCAGGAATCCCCAGTTTCTTGTGCTAAATAAAAAATTTTGTCTGGGTTTCCAGTGAATCTCAGGAGGGCCCCAAACCAGGGACAATGCAAACCAGAAGTAGACTGAGGCTTACCAACTCTACAACCCAACCCTAACGCAGCACAGTTTTTGAATGAATTAAGATGAACAGCTGGTAACTCTAATAGCATAGCAAAAGAAAGGATAAATCCTCTCTGGGGGAAGAGACCATCAGCTGGAGCTTTTGCAGTGATTTATATAGAGTGTCTAGCATTCAATTAAAAAAAATTGCTAGGCATGCAGAGAAAAGGGGCCATATGATAGTTAAAAGAAAACAGACAATAGTAATAAGAGGCACAGATGGTCACATATAAGCAGACAGGGAAGAAATAGCAGTCAAGAAAATTAAAATAACTATGGATAATATGTAGAAAAAAGATTAAAAAGTAGGCTGGGCAAGGTGGCTGAAGCCTGTAATCCCAGCACTTTGGGAGGCAGAGGCAGGAGAATCACCTGAGGTCAGGAGTTCAAGACCAGCCTGGCCAACATGGTGAAACACTATCTCTACTAAAAACACAAAACAATTAGCCAGGCATGGTGGCAGGTGCCTGTAATCCCTGCTACTGGGGAGGCTGAGGCAGAAGAATCACTTGTGCCCGGGAGGCAGAGGTTGCAGTGAGCCAAGATTGCCACCATTGCACTCCTGCCTGGGCAAGAAGAGCTAAATTCCACCTGAAAAGAAAGAAGAAAAGAAAAGAAGAAAAGAAGATTAAAGGGTATTGTAATATTATAGAACTAAAAAAAAATCATATTAAGAACTCACTGGATAGACTTAGCAGCACACTGGGCAAAGTAAAAGACATACTAATGAACTCAAAGACAGGTCAATAGAAACTTTCCAAACTGAAGCACAATGTTTTTAGTTTCTAATTTGTTTGTCTTAAGGAATGAAATACAAGACAGAGGAAAGAGACATAGTATATGGTAAAAGGTCTAAACTACATCTAATTGAAGTCTCTGAAGGAAAGGAGAAAAAAAATGAGGTAGAAGTGGCCAGGTACAGTGTCTCACACCTGTAATCTCAGCATTCTGGGAGGCCAAGGTGGGGGGATCACTTGAGTCCAGGAGCTCGAGACCAGCCTGGGCAATATGGCGAAACCCCCATCTCTACAAAAAATTAGCTGGCACTGGTGGCACACACCTGTGGTCCCAGCTACAGGGGAGGCTTACGTGAGATGATTGCTTAAGCCCTGGATGCGGAGGTTACAGTGAGCCGAGATCAAGCCACTGCACTCCAGTCTGGGCAACAGAGTGAGAGACCCTGTCTCTAAAAAAAAAAGAATGGGCAGAAGCAATACATGAAGAGATAGTTTTTGAAAAACTGATAAAATAAAACGACCAATAGATAAAAGCAGCTCAGAAAATCCTCAGTAGGATGAATACAAAGGAAAACACACCTACATGCATCATAGTAAAACTACTAAAAAATTTGGATAATTTTTAAATAATCTTGAAAGAAACCTTCAAAATAACAAGATTAAGATAACTGACCTCTCCACATAAACAATGGAAAGCAGTAAATAATGGAAAAATATCTTTAAAAGTACTGAAAGAAAATAATTTTATGCCTATTAAAAATACCCTTCAAAAATAAAGGTTAAACATTTTCAAACTAATAAAAACAAAAAATGTGTTATCAGCAGGCATGCAATAAAATACTAGATGTATCAAAATGAAAAATTTTATACTTCAAAGGATGTTATCAAGAAAGTGAAAAGAAACCCCCACACAATGAGGAATACATTTATAAATCTTGTTTTTATTCTATTTTATAACAGAAAGCTACTGTAACGTTATAGAAAGTTAGTTACTTCTTTTAACTAAGAAAAATATTAATTTATTTTAAAACCAATTTTTTTTGGATTAAAAAGACAACTTATTTTTTAAAAAATAGAATTGAGAATTTATTCAAATTCCTATCATCTGTAATGCTTCCTTGGATAAACTTATAACTAAGTAATAAGCCAATAAATATATCAGATAATTAGGTTCCTAAATCATCTAGCATAGTAGGTAGCACCTGGCAACAGGTTAGTATGGAAAAAACAACTAGAATCTATTGAATACTTACCAAGCACTGTGAAACACACTTTATATATGCTACCTCATTCAATCCACACAATTACCTTATGAAGTATAATCCCACTCCTACAGATGAGGAAATTAAGTCTCAGAGAGTTACTTAAACTTTGACCATGATTACACAGTTGCAAGTGACAATGCTGGAATTCAAATAATAACAACTAACATTTATTGAGCACTTACCATGTGCCATGGTCTGCTCTTATTTTATGTATTAACTTACTTATTCCTCACAAGAATCTTATCAAGTATGTTATTATTATTTTCTTCAGTTTATGGATGAGGAAACACAGAGAAGTTAAGTAACTTGTCCAAGGTTATGAAACCAGCAACTGGTAAAGTTGGGATTTTAGCCTAGGAAATTTGACTCCAGAGCCTGAATTCTTTACCACTACACCACCATGCTACCTCTCCAGAACTCAAAACTGAAGTCTCTCTAGGCCCACTAAGCCAAAATATTTACCAATATGTAATTAACATGTCATGAAAGCCCACGGAAACAATAATTTAAAAATTAATCAAAATAGATTCTTTTATATATATCTTAATTTTTAAAATACGTGTTTCAAAAGAGTATTTTCTTCTACTCACTACATGAAGGTAGAAAGTTTGACTGTGTATTTTATTAATTTAGCAGTGACACACAATCCTAATTTAGGAGAAATATAGATTACCAAGCAACCCCTATAATTATAGTAGTATGAACATAAACAGTGGTAAGTATCAACTACATCTCATTTAAGGCAATAATAAGGAAAAGAAATTAGGCAAAAATCATAGATTCTACAAACTAACTTGGCTTATGATAAGCTGTCCTAAAGGAGTGTCTTCCCTAACATACCTTTTCTTGCTGCAACCTTAAAAGCAAACCACGCTGTTTCTTCCGGAGTGGGGGCATTTTATCATCCTCTCCTTTGTCTCGTAGATGTCTGCAAATAATATTTTTAATTGAGACAAAGACTTGATTAAATTTCCATTACCTGAATAATGTCAAGAATTCTTGACTACTAAAAAGTCTACAAACCAATTTAACATTTTCAAATGTGAAAAGTAATTGCTACATGTAGCCATAACCATTCATATCCTAATAAGTATTTTACTGAGGTATATGCAAGCCCTAGATTGTGTCCTCTAAAGATAGAAGGACTTCGAGAAATTTATAATATTGTATCATATGACAGCATAACATTACAGTCAGTTAAGTGATAGAACTGCAAAGAAAATGTTATATGGGTAACAGGAGGTTTTGAAAGAAATACAAATCAAATATGACTGCCATATTTCTAGCTTGAGAAACTGGGTTGCTCAAATCAAATTAAAAGAGGAAACAAAAACATCTTAAAATATAAAGCATTCCATTTTACGAAAGAAGAAATGAGTGAGAACTGTGCTCACTGAAAGAACTTACTTTTTTTGATGCTCTAACCAGGCCAACTCAGCCTTAGTCTTCTCCTTCAAGGCCTTTTCACGGAGACGCAGGAGTGAAGACTGGTGAGCCGCCCTCATTTCTTCTTCTTTCATATACTGTCGAACCATCTCCATAGTAAATTTAGAAAAGCTATCTTGTCCTCCTGAGAATGGCATGTTCACTTCCTAAAGTAGACGGTTACTTTCTTGTTTATCATCATCTAAACCTTTTGGTACTTAACTTCATTAAAAGTGGTATGCATTTACAAAAAACAAACTATGTATTTAACAAGGCTGCCAACAATGTAAGAGAATATTCTTTAAAAAGGTACATGAGGCAGATTAATATTCATTTTCTAATTTATTCGGCCAATAAAATTTTAATAAACTACTGCAAGCCAATTACCGTACCAGGGATACAAAGTGGAGTAAGAATTTGTTCCTGTTAACCAAGAGGCATACAATTTAGTAAGAAGAATTAATGTAAATTTCTAAATGGAATAAAGTATTAGAAGTATGAAGCAAGTAAAAAAGCTAGCGAGATAATAATGGCTCAGATCCTCAAAGGCCTTATATTCATTCCAAAAAATAAGTTTGTATTATACTTTGTGAGGAAAGTGAGGCCAGGTTTTATAGGAAAACTATAACATAAAATTGATATCTAACAAAAATCATTCTAGTAGCTGACAAATGAGTCAAGTAAAAAATGTTTTCTCGTATCTTTGAGAGAACATATCCACAACCATCTACCTCCACAGATAAGTGAAACACACCTTGGCAGAAGACAATGTAGTCTTTTCTGGAGAACCTTCTTCATCAGAGTCATCATGATGACCTCTTCTCTTTTCCATGTTAAATCTGCGGTGACTCTCTGAAGGCAGTAATGATCGAAATGATTGTTCTTCTATTTCATCTTCTGTCATGGATTCATCAAATTTCAGAGAATATTCTGTTGCAATAGAAGTTGAGTCTAAAAGAATATGGAGAAAGTAGATTTTGTCATAACTGTTCTCAGTAGCAATTCAAGTAGCACCCCTTTGCCTCTTTATGGGACACGCCAATATAAATTCATAAAACTGATCAGTAGTAGATATGAAATAATAAACAAAATTTATTTGCCTTACGAACAAGAAAAAAAAAACTCTAAAAATACCTAGAAATACTAGGATAAGAACTATAAAGATTAATGTTGCAAAAAATTTAGAGAGCTCTTACAAATCAATTAGAAAACCACTAATGCACCTATAGAAAAATGAGAAAAGGTCAGATCAAATGCTTTACAAAGGAAATATAAACAGTAAAAGTGAAAAAAAGTTTAATATTGCTATCAAAGACATACAAGTAAAAATATCTTTTTTAAAAACTCATTAATTCCTAGCTTAATTAGAATATGACAGCTCTTTCAGGTTGGTTCCTGTGTGCCTTTGACATGGCCTTGCATCCTTTTTTTTAATTGAATACTTCACTTTCTGGTACAAGATATTGCAGGCTCATCTTGTATTTTTCCTACAGCCCTAGAATCAGCCATTTCTCCAAAGAGCTCTTATTTATTTTATTCAATAATGATATTTAGAAACCACAGTCTAGGGGCCAGGCACGGTGGCTCACACCTGTAATCCCAGCATTTTGGGATGCCAAGGTGGAATCCCAAAGGAGGCCAGGAGCTCCAGACCAGCCTGGGTGACAGTATAAGACCGCCATTTCTTTAAAAGAAAAAAAAAAAAATGAATGAATGAATGAATTTGTAGGTACTAGTTGTCCTTGCTACTATGGGTGTATCACTACTTCTGCACTTGCTCAATGAACAGAACTAGGCAATATATGGATGTACACTAATCCATGTATACATGTGTGTGCACATACTCACATACAATTACAATTGCTTTTGTATACCTACAGCCAGCCAGCTAAACACGAATTCATACTTAGGTCTCCGATCCAGTAACAAAGTTCATTCTAGTCCCTTCTTGTGTATCTTCCCTTCAAACACTGAGAAACCTGGCTCCCGCCATCCAACACTCATTTATTTATTTGTTCAACCCCAATATACATGTAAAGAACGGTTAACCTGTACCCCTGCGAAAAACTATTATCCAACTAGAGTATAGGTTTATGTACTAAACCTTTTGTGTTAGGTTTATATTAATAGTTTCCACGCAAGACATCATTTTCCAAAGTTACTTAGGTCAGCTCTTTTCCCCCCAACCCCTTCAGTATTGTTATGCCACATATTTATAATAGTTAGATTCATTTATCACAGGCTGCATTCCATTTTCAGATCTCCCAACATCCTGACTAATGTATGTGTATGCATGATTAGTTCACAGATATTAAAATTCACTCATTGTGATACACAGTTCCAAGGTTTTGACAAATACATATCATCATACAGAACATACATACCTACAGAACAAATACTCCATGTAACAGTAAACACCCCTTCATGCATCTTCTTTGCGGTCAACTACTTCCTCTTCCGCCTAATGCCTAGAAACCACTTGTTTTCCATCTCTTTAGTTGTGTCTTATATAGAATGTCATATAAACTGAATCATATTATAATACATAGACTTTTGGGGTCTGCTTTTTCACTTAGTAAAATCCATTTAAAATTCGTCCATGTAGTTGTGTGAACCAAAAGATTATTCCTTTTAATAGCTGAATAGTATTTCACTATATGGACGTACCAGTTTGTTTATCCATTCCCCAAATAAAGGACATCTTGGTTGCTTCTAGTTCTTAACAATTATGAATATGCTGCTATGAATATAAGTGTACAGGTTTTCATGCAGATGTAAGTATTCAAATCACTTGGTAAACAGGCATGTGATTGCTGGATTGTATAGTTAAGTCTTATGAGATGCTATGAAACGATCTTCCACAGTGATCATATAATTTTGCATTCTCACCAATAATGTATGCAAGCTCCTGTTGCTCTGCATCCTTGCCACCAATTTGTTATTGTCAGTTTTTCTAATGGCCATTCTAATAAGTGTGTTACTATATCTTGTTATTTTAATCTTCATTTCTCTAATGACATATGATGCTGAAGACCTTTTCCTGTGTCTATGTGCCATCTGCATATTTGCTTCAATGAAGTATCTGTTTAGATCTTCAGTACATTTTAAAAATTGAGTTGTTTTTCCCTATTATTGAAGGGTTTTTTTTTTTTTTTCGCATGAGCCACCGCACCCGGCCTTCTATTACTGAGTTTTAAGAGTTCTTTATATATTCTAGATATAAATCCTTTATCAAATATATGACTTGCAAATATTTTCTCCCAATCTGTGGCTTGTCTTTTCATTCCCTTCACAATGTCTTTCACAGAGTAGAAGTTTTTAAATTCTGATAAAGCACAATTCATCAGTTTTTTCTTTCACGGATCATAACTTGAAGTGTTACATATCTAAGAAGTCATCACCAAACTGAACGTCACCTAGATTTATGTTTTCTTCTACATGTGAGTTTTTTAAGGGTTCAGTTTCTTTGGATGGTAGCTGCCTGTGAATTCTAGCTGTCTTGGCTTCTTCAGATCCCTAACTCCATTTCCTCAACTCGAGAAGACCAGTGGGCTCCATGCTCTGCAGTCTGGAAACTCTCTAGGCAGTAAACTGGTAGAACTGCAGCACTCATTTGTTTCTAGTCTCTCATGAATCACACAATTCACTGACTGAGGCCCATTGTCTTGAAAATAGTTATTTCATGTTTTGCCTGACATTTTACTTGCTTTAAGAGGGTAAGTAGGCTGGGTGCTGTAGCTCACATCTGTAATCCCAGCACTTTGGGTGGCCGAAGCGGGCAGATCATGAGGTCAGGAGTTTGAGACCAGCCTGATCAACCCGGTGAAGCCCCGTCTCTATTAAAAATAAAAAATTAGCCGGGCATGGTGGCATACACCTATAATCCCAGCTACTGAGGAGGCTGAGGCAGGAGAATCACTTGAACCGGGAGGTGAAGGCTGCAGGTTGCAGTGAGCTGAGACCGCACCACTGCACTCCAGCCTAGATGACAGAGCAAGACTCTGTCTCAAAAAAAAAAAAAAAAAAAAAATAGAAAAAGAGGGTAAGTAAATCTGATCCCTGTTGTTCCATCATGGCCAGAAGTAGCAGTAATCCAAATAATATATATTTTTTGTTTTTTTGTTAGTCAAGTGAAGCACTGGGCAAGTAACTTAATATTGTTTAAAGAAGTTAAATAAAGTAAGTCACTGTTTATAATGTTTCAAAATAGTCACCTGACAATTATTTATTCATTATTATTGGAAGCCAAAAACCATGACAAATACTTGAGACATGGCACAAACAAGTCCCACATGGTTACTGTTTCCTTCTAAGGCTTAAAAACATTATCTATAATTAAATTTGTCATCAGTGCTTTAATTAGAAACACTGTATTATTAATGAGATAAAGTTTAGTAAATATTAATGAGATAAAGTTAGGAATCTCCTCAGCTAAATATCCAAGTACACCACTTTTAATGTCTATATTCCTTTATTTACTTATTTTTTTTTTTTTTTTGAGACAGGGTCTTGCTCTGTCACCCAAGCTGGAATGCTAAGGCTCAGTCATAGCTCACTGTAGCCTTGATCTCCTAGGCTCAAGTGAACCTCCCATCTCAGCCTCCAACATACTAGGACCACAGGCTGTGTCACCAAGTCTGGTAAATTTTAAAATTTTTTTGTAGAGACAGGGGTCTCCTTATGTTTTCCTGGCTGGTTTCAAACTCCTGGGCTCAAGCAATCCTCCCACCTCAGCCTCCCAAGTGCTGGAATTACAGGCATGAGCCCCCGCATCTAGCTTATTTGCCACTTTATAACAAGGATCATCTTTCCTCCAGTTTCTGAACAAATGATTATACATTTATTTGCAAAGAAAGTTACCTTTTTCATCAGGAAGAGATGGAACACTATCACTTCGTAGAGAATCATCTGCAGCAGTCTGAGCCTGTTCATCAATGGAACTCTCCATCTTTTCACCATTAAGTTTCTTCTCATTTTCCTTACAAGATGGAACTGAAGGACTTTCTTGGCGGCTGCTACCACTACTACTTCTATTTATGGATACGTGGAAACAAAAACAAAATTAACAGAATAAGGATTATAGTTTCAAAGTAAACTTATTTGGCCAAATGACTGCTTTATAATCAAGATAAAAATGAAGCAAGATGTAATATAAAACAGAAAAAGCTAAGTAACCTAAATCCGAGAATATTTTAGAAAAGATGAGAAAGATGAGTAGGAGGGAGGAAAGTTTCACTTTTAAATAATCATAATAGGCAGTGTTATTAGATTATCACTCCCTTTTTTCCTTTCATTTCAAAATCAAACTTCTGGGAAAGGGAACTACTACTCACTGTTTCCACTTCCTTACTTTTCATTAACATCATGATTTTTCACAATCTGCTTCCATCCCAACTGCTCTACTAAAATTGTTCTGAATAAGCTCTATCTATACTTTGAATTGCCAAATCCAACAGATAATTTATCACTCTGCAACATTAGATGTTATTGACCATATCTCCCCTTCTTTAAAAGCTCTACTTGCTAAATAAAATGTAAAAGGTTAGGGTAATCTGGATGAAAGGTATTTATTCTTGTAACTTTTCTGTAAGCTTGAAATCTTAAATGTTAAATAAAAGAGCTCTCCTTTCTTATATCCTATGATTTTACTCTCACCTGCTTCTCTTCCCACCTCCCTAACAAGCTTTCCTTGTTTCTTTCATTTGCTTTAAATTTTTCTGTCTTTCCTTAAATTGATGGTTTTGTTTTGGTCCTTCACTTGCACGCACGCTCTATTATTATTATTTTTTGGTTGGTTGTTTTGAGAAGGAGTCTCACTCTGTTGCCCAGGATGGAGTGCCGTGCCATGATCTTGGCTCACTGAAACCTTCACTTCCCAGGTTCACACAATTCTGCTGACTCTGCCTCCCAAGTAGCTGGGATTACAGGCATGTGCCACCACACCCAGCTAAATTTTTTTTTTTATTTTTAGTAGAGACAGGGTTTCACCATGTTGGCCAGGCTGGTTTCAAACTCCTAACCTCAGATGATCCACCTGCCTCAGCCTCCCAAAGTGCTGGGCTTATAGATGTGAACCATTGTGCCAGCCCTCTTTCTCTTTTATACTACATATTCTCCTTGGGCAATCTTAACTATAACTTCAACTACTATCATTTAGAGTGAGCCTCAAATTTGTATCACTATCTTTGCTTTGCCCTTTCCCTGATTTTAAGCTTCAAGTGTTGAAATGCCATGGGAACTTATGTTTTTGGCTACTCCTCAGCCAACAAACCATATATTCTCCCAAGTGTTTTCCTTTCTCCTTACATTTCTTGGTTTATTCATTTACTACACAAGCCAGGTGATAGGTTCCTAATATACTTAGGATCCTCTGCACATGCTTATTTCCTCTTCCAAAATGCCCTTGCTGCCCTGACTGCTTAATGACCTATGGAATTCAAGACTTAGTTAAAGTGTTATTTCTGAGAAGACTGCACCGACCCCACCCCAACTCTCAAGGAAGGTTTAGTCACTTCTGTCCCTGTGTTCATTCTGGTTTTTTTTGTGTGTGTATATTTCTATGACAGTACTTAACAGAATGTAAAGCAATTGTTTGGTTTAAGAAGTTTTTGAAAGATAAATTTTGTAATAAAGCAATAAGGTAAAAGATGTAATGCAGCACACAAGAAGGGCACATGAGTCAGAAGGACATGGAGTTGAATCCCAGTTCTACCAATTAGTAGTTATGTGCTAATCATTCACTCAGTAAATTTATAGTAGGTTGCCTAGTGTGTGCTAGGTACTTTGCTAAATTCTGGTGATACAAGTATGCATGGTTCCCACTAAGATGGCTATAATAAAAAACACAACAAATATTGGTGTGGATTACAGAAAAAAATTACACTCATAGTGGGAAAATGGTATAACATGCTGCAGTTGCTTTGGAAAATAGTTTTGCATTTCTTCAAAAAGTTAAACATAGAGCTACCATACATAACCCAGCAATTCCATTCCTAAGTATATACTCAAGAGAAATGAAAACATATCCACACAAATGCTTATATGTGAATGTTCACAGCAGCATTACTTACAATGGTCAAAAAGTGGAAACCACCCAAATGTCCACCAACTGATGAAGGATAAATAATATGTGGGATATCCATGCAATGGAATATTATTTGGCCATATAAACAAAGTAGTAATACATGCTACACATGCATGAGACCTGAAAGCATCATGCTAAGTGAAAGAATTCAGTCACAAAGGGCTATATATTGTAATGATGCCATTTATATAAAAAATCCAGAACAGGCAAATCCACAGAGAATGGAGATAGAAAATAGATCTGGCCAGGCGTGGTGGCTCACGCCTGTAATCCCAGCACTTTGGGAGGCTGAGGTGGGAGGATCAATAGGTCAGAAGATTGAAGTCATTCTGGCCAACATATTTTTAGTAGAGACAGGTGAAACCCCCGTCTCTACTAAAAATATGAAAAAAAAAAAACAAAACAAACAACAAAAAAAAACTAGCTGGGCATGGTGGCATGTGCCTGTAATCCCGGCTACTTGGGAGGCTGAGGCAGGAAAATTGCTTGAACCAGGGAGTCGGAGTTTTGCAGTGAGTCAAGATCCCGCCACTGCACTCCAGCTTGGCCACAGAGCGAGATTTCGTCTCAAAAAAAAAAAAGAAAAAAAGTAGATCAGTGGTTGCCAGAGGAGGGTATAGGGAGTAACTGCTAATGGTTACTGAGTTTATTTCTGGGGTGATGAAAAGGAAGCCCTCAAAGAGCTTCTAGTCTAGACTGTAAATGACCAACAAAGAAATGTATACAAAGGGCAGTCAAGACTGTCATAGCTATACTCACAGTGCTGTCGGAGAACAATGAAGTGAGAGCTAAAGCAGATGACGGGTAACACTAATTCTTGAAAGGTAAGTAACAATAAACTAAATGAAATGAGGTGGGGGATGGCCTAGAAAAAAGGTAGATCGAAGGCAATGGCACAGAAGACAGAGAGCATGGTTCTTAACAGAGAATTGGAACTAGTTAGAATGAATGGAGTAGAGTAAGAGGGGAAACGCCAAGAGATGGGGTTAGAGATGAACCAAAGGCTCAATTATAAAGGAACTTTTTATGCTAGGCTAAATAATTTGGACCTTAGTCTGAATATTCTGAGGGAATACTGAAGATTTCAAACAGGTGCCAAAAGGGCTAGAAATTTTAGAAAAATCACTCTGGTCACCATGTGGCTAATGAATAGAGTGTAGGAAGATTAGAGGATGAGGACAAGTATTAGGAGTTCACCATAGTAATCCAGATGACAGTCTACATGAAGTGTCAGTGAAACCGTCAGTAAAGGTTAAATGAAAGTCACATAGTTTCAGAGACATAACAGGTACCCAATAACCTTTGGTACTTTTCCCACATTTTCATGTCTTTTACTTTCATGATTTAATTTTTTAAACTGGGGTTTTACTATACTTGACAATGTTGGTATGTTACCTGTAAAAACGCTGAAAAGTCACCTCTAAAATCTTCTAATCTGAGGATGGAACCATAATTGAAAACTATAGCCATTAATATCACAACAACTACCAATGAGAAGCTATTCAATTTTTTTTTCTTTTGAGATGGAGTCTCATTCTGTCGCCCAGGCTGGAGTGCAGTGGTGCAATCTCAGCTCAATGCAGCTGCCACCTCCTGAGTTCAAGAGATTCTCGTGCCGCAGCCTCCTGAGTAGTTGAGATTATAGGCACATACCACCACACCCAGCTAATTTTTATATTTTTAGTAGAGATGGGGTTTTGCCATGTTGGCCAGGCTGATCTCAAACTCCTGACCTCAGGTGATCTGCCCACCTCAGCCTCCCAAAGTGCTGGAATCACAGGTGTGAGAGCCACTGTGCCTGGCTTATTCAATATTTTTTATAACAATAAAAATTAGTAACATCAGGAAATATGAATGTCAGTAAGGAAATGTGCAATAAACATAGCCTTTGAAGGCAGATAAATTAAGGTGCGATTCTTTGAGGTATCATTATTTATGTGACCTTGAAGGGGTTTCTTAATATCTCCATAAGCCTCAGTTTTCTTACCTATAAGGATAATACTATATGTGTTGGACGGTTTATTACATGGGCCAACTATTTTGTAAATTGGCTAATTACGGAAGCCAGCACTTTGAAGAGCATGCCCTGTTCTATTTAAATAAACAAGATAGGCTGGGCGTGGTGGCTCACACCTGTAATCCCAGCACTTTAGGAGGCCGAGGAAGGAGGATCATCAGGTCAGGAGTTTGAGACCAGCCTGGACAACACAGTGAAACTCCGTCTCTAATAAAAACACTAAAAAATTAGTTGGGCATGTTGGCGGGCACCTGTAATCCTAGCTACTCAGGAGGCTGAGGCAGGAGAATCGCTTGAACCTGGCAGGTGGAGGTTGCAGCAAGCCAAGATCATGCCACTGCACACCAGCCTGGGCAAGAGTGTGGGACTCCATCTCAAAAATAAATAAATAAATAAAATAAACAAGATTAAGAAGTCAAAGAAAAACAACGTTTAAGCCATTTATCAGAGTTTACTAAACTGTACTGACAAAGAAATCAAATTGTCTTCACCTTCTGTCATGATTCCTGTATCCTGAAGACTCAGAATAACTATCATATGAAGGGGAATACTTCTGATGCTTTGAGTCAAGGGTTCCTTCTTTACTCTGAGAGAGTGAAACAGATGGACTTTTCCTATAAATAAAATAAAAAACTGATTAAACATTCAAAGTCTCTAATAACAGAAATATTTTAAGTATTGCTTAACAGTAGTATGAGATGAAATGCTGAATGAATGCTTATTATAAAATAGCTTACACCACATTACAGAATATGTTGTTTCATTAAGGAAGTAAACACAAAATCACTCCTAATATCAATGAATGTAAACAGAGACTTAAAATCTATGAATTAGAGACAGTCAAATATTAAGAAAAACTCACAGAAATATGGTAACGTTACCCAATCCTGCCAAAAATAATCTCTTTAATGGCTTTATTGCTCTTAGAATAAACTTCAAAATCCTAAGTGTGCAAGGTCCTATACCATGGTCTGATCCCTGCATCATCTCATACCATTTTCTTTGCTCTCTGCCCCCAGCCACAATGGTCCTTTACATTACTAACTCCTCATCCATTAGATCTCACCACAAGCTTTATTTCCTCGGGAAAGCCTTCTCTGACCTGCTGGCACCCCTAGGCTATTAAAATTCCTATGTTACATGTCTCTGAGACATGTATTCCTTTTTTTTTTTTTTTTTTATACCCAGTCTCACTCTTTTCCCTGGCTTTTGTTTTTTGGGGTCTTTTCGGCTCACTGCAACATCCAACTCCCTGGTTCAAACAATTCTCCTGCCTCAGCTTCCCGAGTAGCTGGGGTTATAGGTACGTGCCACCACACCCAGCTAATTTTTATATTTTTAGTAGAGACGGGGTTTCACCATGTTGGCCAGGATGGTCTTGATCCCCTGACCTCACGATCCACCTGCCTCAGCCTTCCAAAGTGCTGGGATTATAGGCATGAGACACTGCGCCCAGCTCCTTTCATAATACTTAAATCAGTGAATAAGTATTCATTTACTTAACTGAGTATCTGAGTAATGTTTATCTTCCCTACTAGATTATGCCCATAACTGTATTCCCAACCAAGAATAGTGCCATGACAACAAATACTCCTTACATATTTACTGAATGGATATTAACCTAACAGATACTCATTATATATTGGCTGAATGAATGAATATTAACCTATCTGTTTCAGTTCTGGTCCTCAGTTGTTTCATGAAGTCTGGAAGGTGTTGCCGTTGGTGGTCATACAGTATTGCAAGAGGAGCTCCTGAAGCCGTGACAGCATCTGAGATATGAGTTCTAGTCAACTCTGCCATCTAAATATGAACACACACAAGAAAGGCAAATATATAAAAAGATAAGGTCACAGAACTGAGAAGAAGCATAGTGTCCTGGAAAGAAAGATCACTGACTTGAGAGCAGGCAAATTGTGCCACTAATAGATGAATTACTGTGGACAAATCATTTAGTCTCAACAGCTTCATCTGATAAAAACAGAATTGGACTACATAATTTCTAAGGTTTCACCTGGCTATAACAATCTATGAATTAGATAGAAAACCATTAAGCTTATCATAAGCAGTAATAACCCAAAAATTAATTCTTCCTTCAAGAATCGATTTAATTACTACTTCCTTTCTAACTCTTTGCTGACCAATAGGTGAAGTACATTTTCCCTATTCTTTAACACCACTGCAAGTGCTGCATGTACTATTCATTCAATATTCATTCAAGCACTACTTTGAGCTATTCCTTTTCTAATGTCTTGTTTTGATATCTTTGTTAATGTTATCTACATTAAAATTTTCTTGAGAAAGAAGACTCAATTTTATACTTATATGTACAACTCCACAGTACCCAACATACAGTAGGTTCATGGATTTCCAAAAACTAAGTCATTTCACAAATAGTACTAACTTTTGGTTTAAAAAATTACAACTGCTAAAATAAAGTGAAACTGTATCAATCGTGAATTGTGATATCCTATGTAGAGACAGCAATAAAACTACTTCTGGCTATACCCCTGTTACAAGAAAGAAAAGACAGTAACTAATATTATTCTGGGTAAAAATGAAACCCCTTCACACAAAGCAGATCTGTGGTTCCCCAGGACTGAGATTAGGGACTGGATGCAAAGAAACCGAGGAAAAGTTTTGAAGCAACGGAAATATGTTTTGCATTGTGGTGATGATTATAGGGAGATATGTGTGTCTGTGCGCACGCACACGTGTGTGTGTCTGTGTCGGTGGTTATAGGGAGACACGTGTGTGTGTGTGTGAGAGAGAGAGAGGAGTGATGGTTATAGGGAGATACATGTGTGTGTGTGCGCGTGCGTGTGTGAGAGAGAGAGAAAACTCACCAACTGCATACTTAAAATGGGTACATTTTATTGTTTATAAATTATACATCAATAAAGTTGATATTTTTCTAAAAAGCTTATCAGAGGGCAGAAATTTAGAGCTCTTTGTCTTTTTTCTCTCTATAACATTCACATGTACAACACACTCCAATCAATGGTGCCTCTTATTTCAATAAGGTACGGCCCCAACTAAAAGTCACTCATTCAAAGTATGCATTTACTAAGATTTTAGAAACACATTACTGGTAAGACCAAAGGTACACAGATTGAATAAAAAGAACTAAAAAGATAATGGTTCTCAGGGGCAGCTACCTCACAGATTTGGCGTGCTGCATCTGTGGTGAGGCGAGCGGTCTCTGACTGCTGAGCTGCTATTTTACATGTTGCTTCCTGCAGGACTTCAGTTACTTCCCGTTGTGATTTAACTACCTGCTGTAATGATTCTGCATGGACCTTTACATAAAAGGGGGTTAAAAAAGAAGTTATGTTTTAGTCTCCCCTTGACCCAAATTAATTTTAATTTATAAATTTATTTCATGGATCAAATGCCTTATTTGTAGTAAA